ATATGCTATGTGGTAATTGAGGGACCCAATAGGTATCTTAAGCCATTTGCACATGTTGCACATGCAACCAGTCCATGCAGAATGTAGGCACCCTATATATAGAAAGGAGAAAACAGCTGGAAAGATTATGGACATAAGTGAGAAAGTACCTCTTCGAGTTTGGGTGTTAACCATAAGGCACGTTCAAAGAAGCCGGCTGAAGGGGACTGAGAGAGAAATGAGAGCCTCGGACGTAAGGTCACCAGGCTAAAAAGGTGGACTAATGGACTATGGTTTAGGACTGAAACCGGGGAGAGAGGGGTGGGGTTTGGAAGTCCAAAAGGGGCCTGATCTTTTTTACGCAGTGTTAAAATTTCATGTCGTTTATCATTATAAGAATGGGGAATTCGTGGAAGGGAAACAGGTCAACCTTAGAAAAAGTTCTCTTTTTCTTCTTTTTTCTTTGTTATACATGATTAAGGTATATAACCTAAAAGTTGTTTTATAAATAGAATTGAATATGAATAAGGAACTAAGGGTTAAAATTTATTATAAAGAAATATATTAAATAAATAAGGTTAAGGCATTAGGGATAAAAACTTGTTGAACAAATAATTGGATTTGGAATACAAGAAGGGGAGGTGAGGGGAAGTCGCCAAAAGAAGTTATTGTAAATGAGATTTAAAGGTGTGTATTTTTTCTTTTTCTTTTTTGTTTTTCTGTTTTGTTTTGTGTACCTTTTGAAACTTTAATAAATATTATTGCAAAAAAAAAAAAAAAAAGGAAGGAGAAAACCAGGGATATTTTAGGGAGCAGGCTAGCAGGTGGGGCCCATTGCTTATATCATAGGAGCCTGCACAACACAAAACACTGTTGCTGGATGTAGGTTTTATTGAATTTGTTTTTTATCTTATATTTTGGAAATGTACACCCAGTTGTTTGTTTCCTTTAAATATTTTTGGGGCCCCCAAGAGAGTGGAGCCCTAAGCTATAGCTTGTTTAGCTTATACGTAAATCCAGTGTATAAGCTAAACAATACCGTGCAGGGGTCGGCAAAGTCTGGCTCCTTCGCAGCCTGGCTGGGTAATTCAGAGGCTGGTGCCACAGATCCAGACCTAGGGATTCCTCATAAGCACACCTGTTATGTACTGAGTTGAATAGGATCCAAAATGCAGCAGTCTGATTGGCCCTAGAACAATAGGATTCAGAATGCAGCAGTCTGATTGGTCCTAGAACAATAGGATCCAGAATACAGCAGTCTGATTGGTCCACAGGAGCCACCCAATCCAGCTCCAGGTGGAAGTGAATCCGCAACCTGATTGGCCTACAGGAGAATTCAGGAATTAGCCAATCACATGGGGTCCATTGTGTAAATAATGTATATAAAGCAGACATTCTGAGGTAACTTCCATTCCTCCTCACCACTATGAGCTGAATAAAGAGCATGACATCCACTCCACTCTCGGCTCCGAGTATATTTCAGCACCAGAGCTTCGTCAATGCAAGGGCAAGGGCCGCTTATTTGCCAGAGACTAATTGGTTTCGCCATTTTACCAATTCCCACTGGTTTCCCTGTTGCATCTCTCCTGCAATAACGATTGCCGCTATTGCTTTAATAAACAGGGGAAGAAAATATCGAGAGCTTCTCTCACTTTTGCCTTCCGATTGCTGCTGAATGGCCATCTTCAGCCTCTTTGAACGTTGCAGCAGTTGAGATCCGGCAGTGATTTCTGTCGCCATGTGGATGTCTGAAATGAAAACGTATTTCTCTCTCTGTGTGTTTTTTTAAAATAATAATAATAATAATGTTAACAGAGAAATCTGAGGGCTCCCTTGGACACAAAACAAGGACACCAGCCAGGAATACCAGAGCAAAACAGCAGCCAGTAGGCTTGGTCTTTATTGAAGACTGTCACGACAGGACTCCCACCTGCCACCAGGTGAACAAGATGGAAGCCCCAAACAAAAGAGAACCCAAACTTTTATTAGTTACTAATCCCCATGTTACAGCCCCCAAAATACATCACTAATACATCATGGTTACATCATGAAAGGGGAGGTCTGGTGGCAGTAATCTGAGCATCCTGGACCCTGCCCCATGGTTCATGGCCCTCCACCAAACACCCATGGAGTGTAACAAAAGAGATATTTACATTTCCCTCTTTCCCAGCCAAGTTAACCACACCCTTTTGTCTTCATCTGGGTTTGTTATTTCTGGAATGGTTACCTGTCTGGCACTCAGGTATCAGGATGCCAGGGATTATCCCTCAGGCAGAGGGGCTGCTGAGTAGATGAGCTCACATATCTAGATGAATTTCTAAAGTTTCCCTAGTGAGCCAGTACATAGATAAAATTACCAGTGAATTCTTACATTTGGTATTGTGCAGCAGAGGCCCTTTGAATAGATAGGAAGAAACTGTGATGAAGTGTTTTGTGGGGGCAAATCACAAAAGTCACAAAAGCGATTGTGCTGATTTTGGTAGTGGGCTGCATGTGCGTGATATCTGCTGCAGGGGCAACGCCCCCCAACCTATACATAAATTCCTGCAACAATAATAATAAATTCATTGCAATGGGGCAACAGAGCACTTTCCTTGTGCAGACGTAAAGGTATGTGCTTGAAACTCTCCTGGCTGCCAGCCCTGGGACCGCATAATAATAATAATAATAATAATAATAATAATAATAATAATAATTGTTATGTATTGAAGTTCTCACCCTGGGCCAGCAGGGGGATACTATAGATAGTTATGCAAATGAAGGATCGAAAGTGACGCTCAGTGATTGGATAATTTTAGAAAGTTGCTACAGTAACGTTGTACTGGCAGGCTGACTGAGCTCTTCAGTTCAGTTCTGTTCTGGCCTCTGAACAAGAGCTGTTTGAAGAATCGCTGTGTCGTCTGATATGTTCACCCACAACTTAACAATAATAATAATAATAATAATGCCCTTGAGTTCTGCAGTCCCAGAGCCAGTTAACGATAGAGAACGATGCGCTGCATCATGGATCATGCAGCCCAGCCCCTTTATGATTATTTCCACCCCAAACAGGGCAGCGGGTGCCCGCTCTAGGGCAGCGTGCAGGCCCTAGAGGAAGGGAGACCCGGGTTGGGGGTGTCGGAAGCCTCTATCGAAGCCCCACCCCACCCCGGTACTCACAATTGTAAATCAAAATGAGCAGAGTGCAGAACAAGGCCAAGGAAACAGCCACCAAGAGCAGCGCCCAGATTTGCCACCAGGTGGAGATGCCCAAAACATCTGCGGAGGGAAAAGGAGAAGCATTAGAAGCACGCCCGTTCTGCTTTTCCTGCCAGGCACGCCGAGGCCTCTGAAGAATTGCAGAATTGCAGAGTGTGAAGGGGACCCTCAGAGGCCATCTAGTCCAACCCCTTGCAGTACAGGAACAAATACAGAAATGCAATAGTGTCATACCTCGGGTTGCAGACGCTTCGGGTTGCACGATCTCGGGTTGCGCACTGTGATAGGAATTTTGAGGTCTTGGATATATGGTAATGTTCATAACAGCACGTACATAGATCAGCACAGGAAGACCAACCTGGAACCATTTTTATTCCTAAACTGAGCAAATGTTTTCTCTGCAAGTGGGAAACCTCCCATTGTCTCTTTCTTCACAAATCCTGTCTTAAGGGCACATTTAAGATATGAATAGGGTGTGAGCCTGTGACCTGGCCCAGGAACTAAGTATTTATCATTACAAAAGACTAGCCAGGCTCCCCAGGAAATCCAATCAAGTAACCTGCCAGACAGGAGATAAACAACGACAGGAGAAAAACAACATTCAAATTTCTGTTTTAGACCCGCCTTTTCTATGATGTATCTTAGGGGTGGTCTTAGGTTACACCCCTACTGTGATGTATGTATGATGTTTCCGGGGGTGGTCTTGATCTACAGGGTGGTCTTTATAAGGCCTTGTGCGCCATTGTTCTGGGTTCCTCCTCCCTCCTGCGTGTGGTGAGTGAGGACCCTGTTGCAACAGATCAATAAAGATCAGGCTTACTAGCTGCTTTGCTTCTCAATATTCTCTGCTTGGCCTCTGTTACTTTCTCCTACCAATAGGGAACCTAAGTAAGGACTCTATATGGGCTCTTGGATACCCCATAAGGGAAAAGGGCAATTTTTGTTTACAACAGCACCGCGCCAAACCCGAAAGTACTGAAATGGGCTACTTCCAGGTTTTGGCGCTTGCGCATGCGCAGAAGTGCTAAATCGCACTTTGCGCATGTGCAGAAGCACTGAATCACAACCGCGCAGGAGCAGGCGCCTGCACGGATCACGTTCGCAACCCGAACATCCACTGTATAGTTTTTTTAAAAAGGTGGGGGCATACCCTTCAACATTTCTCCGATGGAAACAGAGACGTCCTATTTAGTAGTAGTAGTAGTAGTAATAATAATAATAATAATAATAATAATAATAATAATAATAGTTTTACTGTTTATACCCCGCTCATCTGACTGGGTCGCTCCAACTTTTACTGGGAGGCTCCCAACATAGACGAAAACACAAGAAACATTTGAAACCTTCCCTATATGTACAGGGGTGCCTTCAGACGGCTTGGGGGTCACAAATCTCCATACCCTCCAATATTTCTCTGATGAAAAATAGAAACGTCCTAAGGGAAAGGGGGATCAAATCAGAAACAGGGATTTTCGAAATCTGGGGCTGTCCCTGGAAAATAGGGACACTTGGAAGGTCTGGAATCTCAGAATTGCAGAATAGGAAGGGGACCCCACAGGTCATCTAGTCCAGCCCGCTACAGTACGTAAACAAAGACATAAATATAATGTTGTTGGTTTTTATATATATATATAAAAGGGAGTGGGCGAATTAAGCCAGGATGGGGTGTGGGGAACAGCGTCCTAAAATCCCCACCCACTGGGACGCTGTTATTGTTACTTTCTGTTTTGCAGAGTTACTGTATTTTTCTGTGTATAAGACTAGGTTTCCCCCCCTAAAAAATAATGTCCAAAATTTGGGGGGTATCTTATACATGGCGGCCATCTCCCCCCATTTTCTTAAACCAGAGTTCCCCAAAATAGGGGTCATCTTATACATGGGGGCGTCTATAGATGGAAAAATACGGTAACTGTATAATCCAGTATTTTAACAGGAGGAAATCTGCCTTCGGAGGGAGCCGTGTGAGGACCTGCTGAACTCAACCAAAATAAATAAAATTAACAAAGAGTTGCTGATAGAAACGATGTACACGGTCGGATCCGTAGATGAAAAAAGGCAGCCGGTTCCAGACCACGGGTTTTAAATCGGCCTTCCTCAACCAGACTCCAAAAGCCAGGGAGGTAAAGCAGATAATGATGATGTGGTTTTCTCTTATTAAATGCAAAATAAATTAAAATTTATACAGTGGTACCTTGGTTTGCATACGTCTTGGTTTGCACACATTTTGAATTACAAACATATCAAACCCGGAAGTGCATGTCCCGGTTTCTGACCTTTTAAAAATTATTATTACAACCCATTTGGGGGGGGGGGGATTACCGACAAATTTATTTGGGGAGGCCCCATTGGCGAAAGCGCGCCTTGGGTTACAACCTGTTTCGGTTTACGAACAGACCTCCGGAACGGATTATGGTTGTGAACCAAAGTACCACTGTATATATCAATCAATCAATCAATCAATCTGCATGCTCCCCAGAGATCTCAGGGGGCGGTAAATGTAATAAAAAGCCCAAACCCAAAATAAAAAGCGAGGAATCTCAAGGGCCTCTGGGGTGCGTGGCTGCTCCTTGTCGCCAGGGTCGCCCGCTGCCACACTGAGGTGCGCGCCCCACCTGCCCCTCACCTGGGGGGCCGGGGATCCTGTCCTGCAGGGCCCAGGCGACCCAGGAGGGCCGGCTGGGGGGCTTGGGCAGCTCCCGGCGCAGCTGGGGCGAAGACTTGCTCCAGAAGGCCGGCCCTTTTGGGGGGGCCCTCACCTCCGCCGAGCGGGACTTGGCGCTCAAGACCTGGGACTTGGCCTGGAGGCTGGAGGCCGGGACCACCTTGGCCCCCGGGGGCCTGGGCTCCAGGGGCATCTCGGGGCCTCCGTGGGGCAAGGGGGGGGAGAGGCTTCAGGGACCCTTTTGCAGGTGGTGGGTGGGGGTCAGGAGAAGGGGTCACTTGCTGGGTGGCAGAGGGTGCCCACTAAAAGCAGGGTGGCTGGGTGGGGTCGACCCGGGTCAGGCCTAGCTGGGGGTGGGTGGGGGGCACAGCCTGGCAGTGGGGGGGGCGGGGGACGGGATTAAGACCCCGATTCTATTGATTCTTCCAGATATCTAGGGTTCCAGTTTTTAATGTCTTGATGTTTTAATGTATTCTTTAATGTAAGCCGGTCAGATGGGTGGGGTATAAATAAATAAGTTGTTGTTGTTGGGTATAAATAAATAAATTGTTGTTGTTGGGTATAAATAAATAAATTGTTCTTGTTGTTGGGTATAAATAAACAAATTGTTGTTGGGTATAAATAAATAAGTTGTTGTTGTTGTTATATTTATTACTCTGCTTTTTCCTTTATATATATATATATATAATTTTTATTGATTTTAACATCTTTGGGGTGGGTTGAAAACATTGTCACCCTATATGAATATGATGTATAGATATCTACAGTTAAATCAGCAAAAATGTACAAAACTAAGGAAAGCAAGTGTTGGAAATGTAAAATAACAAGATTTATTTTTCCGTATGTGGTGGGATTGTAAAATCGTAAAGAAGTATTGGGAAATGATCTACAATGAAATGAAGAAGATGTTTAAAACAACATTTGTTTAAAAAATCCAACAGCTTTCCTACTGGGCATTATAGGATAAACCAGGATTATAAAAGGACTTATTTATGTATGCAACTACGGCCGCTCGAATATTGCTAGCACCATATTGGAAAGAAGGAGGTGTGCCAGCTAAAGAAGATTAATGGAGTCAAATTAATGGAATATGCTGAAATGGCAAAAATGACAATGAAATTGAGAGGCAGAGACTGGCAACGAATTTAAGGAAGAATGGAATATTGCATATATACAGAAGCATTGTACACAGGTCAATGCATTAGCAGGGTTTTAGGATTACTTGCAATTTTTTAAGGGTTGGACAATAGGCAATTCAAATGATTTTTAAAATTTAACCATGGGCATGCGGTATGTTGATAAATAATGGAACCAAGGAAGGGACTGGGGGAAGTCGATCTGTTTTTATTTTGTTTTGATGTTGTTTTGTTGTTATTTTTGGAAAATTAATAAACGATTGAAACATGAACATGAAATTGATTACGGTCAGAGACCAGCTTGTGAAACACAAATGGAACTACAATCCCAATAGCAAAAAACAACATTTAAATTAATAAAATATTATAAAAAAAGGAAAACATTGCCACCCCTTTCAAGGCTTCGGACTCCAGCAAGACTCACAAAGATGTATAAAAACAGATCAAGTGTAAAGATGGTATAGGTCATATATGCACATGTGGTGGGAATGCACAGCCATTAAAGAATTTTGGAATAACATCTATAATGAATTTTAAAAACCCTCAGTTTTCATTTAAGAAAAAACCTGAAACCTTCCTCCTTGGAATAATGTCACCAGAAATCAAAAAGAAATTAGACCACTTTTTATGTGTACAACAGTAGCAGCCAGGATCCTAATTGCAAGAAACTGGAAAAATGACAAAACACCTACGATAAATGAGTGGCAGGTCCAAATGATAGAATACAGATGGCCATGATGACAGGGAGAATTAGAAGTTATCCAAAACAGAAAGTACAGAAAGAATGGGGAATCTTTAAAGAGTATTTGGAAAAGCATTACAATAACAAATATCTCCTGGCAGAAATAGAATGATCCTTGTAAAACAACAAATATAATTTTTTTTGATATCTGACAAAAACAAAGAAATATTATTTGAAAAAGCATTACAATAACAAATATCTCCTGGCAGAAATAGAATGATCCTTGTAAAACAACCAATATAATGTTTTTTTGATATCGGACGAAAACAAGGAAAGAAATACAATAACATGGAAAAAATTGTAGAAATAATAATACAATGAGTCTAAACGGAAGCCAAATGTGTTTTGTTTTGTCTTCTTTTTCCTTCCCCCCCTTCTTTTTCCTTTCTTTTGTGTGTGTCTCCTTTCTTGGTCCTTCTCTTTTTGATATGTTAAGAAAGAGATAAAGATCTAAAAGTGTAATATGAAAACTTCAGTAAGTCAAAAGTGACGTTGTGTAATTTTCTATTACTATTTGTATATTGTTCGAATAGGTTAATTGTAATGAATTGATGTAGGAACTGAAAAAATAAAATAAATAAAGCTGGGGAAGCCAAGGTTTCGGGACGTCCCAGAGAGCCATGTTGCCAAGGTTTCTGCAGGGACCGGGGTTGGGATGGATGACCCTTAGGGATCCCACTTCCAAAAATCTTCTAGGATCCTTTAGATAAGTTCCCCCCCTCAGGGACAGACCCCACAATAAGAGGAGAAATTCATGGGTCCCTTGGGGAAAAGCGGGGACATTTTTAAATTTGAGAATGCGATGCAAGCGCCAGTCAAAACATGGCTGACGTGGCCTCACAAAATGGCTGCCAGGAGGCCATGAAGGGGCACAAAATGGCTGCCATTTCTGGAAGGCGCCAAATGGCATTTTGTGGCATTAAATGGAGTTTTTCCTCACGTTGCCCTTTTCTTCTCCCCACCCCCCACCCTTTCTTTTGGCATGGACATAAATAAAATAAAATAACCCAGAAAAACTCTCTCCTGCAACCCGGCCTTTGGCCTTTCACTGTTGTCCGCTGGCCTTTTAGAAGCCAGACGGTTTTGTTTTAAATAAATGCATTTCTTCCACTTTGCATTCAGTCATTCATTTGATACATCTTTTTAAAGGACTTTCCCTTCTTTGCTTTCGTGGGTTTTGCAAGTCTTATCTTCGTGGTGCAAGATAAGAGCAAGCGGTAAACCCCATGAACGAAACCACCGATTTCGTCTATTCATTCTTCATTTTATTGCTCCATCGGTCGTTATGTATTTATTTATTCATTCTTCATTATTTGTGGTTTATTTGCTTGCAATCGTCATTTATTTATTGATTGAGTGCCGTTTTTATTTCACTCTTTATCAGCTGTTTGTTTAGTCACCATTCCTCACTTATTTATTCATTTATTTTATTGAATCTATTTCAGCGCTCTCTCTCATTTAGGGAAGTTTTTAATGCTTGATATATTTATCGTGTTTTTAATATTCGGTTGGAAGCTGCCCAGAGTGGCTGGGGAGCCCAGCCAGATGGGCGGGGTATAAATAAATTATTATTATTATTATTATTATTATTATTATTATTATTATTTTCATTTTAAACTTTAACACAGTGTTGCTGAGGTTTTTTGGAGTTTTTTTGGGGTGTGTGTGTATGTTATTTCGCCTTCTGTGGGGCCGCAGGGGTGCATTGTGGGAAATGTAGTCCCTCATCCGCCCCACCCCCCCAGATTTGAGGCCCTGAAGGGGCATCTAGGAATTTATTTTTGCCTTCGGTTGGGCTGCAGGGGTGCATTGTGGGAAATGGAGTCCGCCACCCCACCAGATTCAACGCCCTGAGGGATTCGCCGGCGCCTGGGAACTACAACTCCCATCCTGCCTCCCTTTCCCCAGCCTGAGGCTGCCCCCTTGTGGCTGTGCCCTGAAGCCCCCCAGGAGGAGAAGCCCCTCTTTCCAAGCAAGTCTTCCTGGGGAGCGGCAGCCTGCTCCCTTTCCCCGGTGCCGAGTGCGAAAGGCGGGCGCCTTTAGGCCGTGGTTCAGCCTCGCAGGGTGCCTGAACCCTTGGGGGGGCCACAAAGACCCTCCTTGTCCCTCGGGAGGTTTATTTTGGGGTTTTTTGGCAGGTGCGGTCGCCGGAAGGCGCTCCCCGGAAGACCCATGCTCAACGTCGCCCGCTCGGCGCGCTCTTTCCGCTCTAACACTCCCGACAGGTCGCGGGTCACCATCGCCAGCAGGAAACGCCTGGAGGATGAAGAGGGTGAGGAGGAAGGCGGCCGATCCTGTTGTAAACAAAAATTGCCCCTTTCCCTTATGGGGTATCCAAGAGCCCATATAGAGTCCTTTTGTGGGTTCTCTATCGGTAGGAGAAAATAACAGAGGCCAACCAGAGAATATTGAGAAGCAAAGCAGCTCATAAGCCTTTATTGAACTGTTGCAACAGGGTCCTCACCTCACATGCAGGAAAGGAGGAGGACCCAGAACCAAGGTTTGCCCACCCTTATATAGACATTTTAAATTGCCTGCCCTGGAGCTCAAGACCACCGCCAGAAACATCATATATACATACATCACAGAAGGGGTGTAACCCAAGACCACCCCTCAGATACATCACACCTACATCACAGAAAAGGCGGTCTACAGCAGAAATCTGAGTGCGTTGTTTATCTCATCTGACGGGTTACCTGTTTAATGGTCACTTGATTGGATTTCCTGGGGAGCCTGGCCAGTCTTTTGTAATGATAAATACTTAGTTCCTGGGCCAAGTCACAGGCTCACACCCTATTCAAACACAGACATACTCATCTTCAGAGGTCCATTAATAGAGGTTTGGGAAAGATATAAGAACATATTGGAACCAAAAACTCCACATTGGCTATCCCCGTTGGAGATAATGGGTATAAAGAAAATCAATATGAGAGAAAAGTGGGGAAAATACGGAGAGATGGTTACTAATGAAGGGGGGAAGTGGAAAATAAAACCATACGACCAGGTCAAAATGTTTACATATGATTGGCTGCACTACTTTCAGATAAATGAAATGTTTAAAAAAGAGGTGAAGGAAAGGGGTTATGAAGAAAAGGAATCAAATTTTCAAAAGGAAATTATAAATAATGAATGCAAAAATCTGTCAAAAATGTATAAAATACTGTTGGAGTGGAACACAAAGGATGAGGAAGTGAAATCAGTGATGGTACAGTGGGCAAGGGATTTCGGATACAATATCCAGCTAGAGGATTGGGAAAGGTTGTGGAGAGTGAATATAAAATTTACCGCATGCACGCTACTGAAAGAAAATATGTTAAAGATGCTTTACAGATGGTATTTGACACCTGTAAAATTGGCAAAGATGTACAAGGTAAATAACAAATGCTGGAAATGTAAATATAAAGAAGGGACATTGTACCATCAATGGTGGGAGTGTAAGAAAGTAAAGGGTTTTTGGGAAGAGATCTACAACGAAATGAAAAAGATGTTAAGATACACCTTCGTGAAAAGACCAGAAGCCTTTTTATTAGGTATTGTAGGAAAGGATATCAGAAAAAAGGACTGCAAACTTTTCCAGTACGCGGTAACGGCAGCCAGAATAGTGTTGGCTCAGAGGTGGAAGCAGGAAGAAATCCCAACGGTAGAAGAGTGGAGAGCAAAATTGACAGAGTACGCGGAACTTGATAAGTTAACAGGGAAAATCAGATATACTAAAGACCAGAAATTTATTAAGGACTGGGAGAAATTTGTGGGATACCTGGAAAACAATTGTGCTGTAAATATAACGCTAGTGGGGTTTAAAGAGGCACTGTAAAGAACTAATAAGTATTGTCTATTTGAATGAATATAGGAAGGGTGGAACAAATGGCAATATGAAAGAATGGAATGTGTACTAAGGATATAATTACGAATGAATGTCAGTGACGTTGAAGGAAGTCTAAGATGAATAAGATTTGTTGAAATTTGGATGTATAACCAGTTGGAAATCAATAAAATTTTTAAAATGCAAAAAAACACACAAAAACAAAGACAGACATACTCTTAAGACAGGATTTGTGAAGGAAAAGACAATGGGGAGGCTTTTCCACTTTGACATTGCAGAGAAAACATTTGCTCACTTTAGGAATCAAAATGGCTTCAGGTCGGTCTTCCTGTGCTGATCTCTGTACGTGCGGTTATGAACATTACCATATATCTAAGACCTCAGGAAGCAAGGAGCGCGCGGCAGGCCTGTGGAACTCCCTGCCACAGCTTGGCTTGAGAAGACGGCCGTGCTCATGAAGATGATGGGTTTTTCGGAGCTAGCTGACCTGGGCTGGGAGAGTCCGTGATCAGAAGGAGGAGGATTACCAGGAAGAACGGACGAAATTTAAAGACTATTTAGTTAAATATGTTAAGTTCAACTAATTGGAAAAGCTTGCAAAGAACAGATAGGCTTAGGATTTAAAGACGTAATGTGATGAATTAATATGTTTCATGCTGAATTGGAAAGAAAGAAAGATGTTAAGTGATTAAGTTAATTTTATAAGAAGACTGGTTTTTGGAAAACCGTTAAAATGATATACACCGAATTCAACCCCATGCTCTTTCTTTTCAAATTTTTAAAAATTAATTTTCCAGATTTAACACAACACAAAATAACAAACATATAAAAAGAAAAACAAACATACATTCACAGCTTCTTACAGTTAAAACTCCAAATTGCATTCCATTATTGGGTGACTTCCTCAAATCCTTCCTAAATGATTTTCATTCAATCTCATTTTAGCAATTTTCCAATATCCACTTTCTAATAAAATTAACTTGTTCAAATGACTAACTCCCTTTCTTTTCATAATATTCTCAAGCCATTATCTTATACAATTCAACATAATTTAATCCTAAACCAAATTTAGCACTTGCAAGTATTTCCACTTATATTACGTTTTACTAAATATTCCTTAAATTTCTTCCATTTTTCCTGATGTTCCTCCTCTTTCTGATCGCGGATTCTTTTTGGTCGGCCAGCTCCAAAAAGTCCAACATCTTCATCTGCCAGTCTTCCAATGTTGGTATTTCCTGTGATTTCCAATTTTGGGCAAGTAAAATCCTTGCTGCAGTTGCGGCATACAAAAACAATCTAACATCTTTTTTAGGCAATCTACCCATGCTCTTATGGCGCAGAGCTGTCCGTCCTGGGGAAAAAGGCTGCCCTGTGGGCAATCTTCTACCATGCAGGCTGATAGATGAACTTCATTTTTGGGCAGAAATTCCGACTTTTGGAAGGGGTGCGTACCTTTCCCACGTTTCTCCGGCGAAATTTTTTAATAATATAATAAATTTTTATTTATTTTTGCTGGAGAAGCTTCCTGATGTAGAATAGGATGTCCCAATTTTCTTCGGAGAAATGTTGGAGCGTATGTAGCAGGGAGACGTTTATCCCGGCCTATTGGAGCGCGTTGGAGCCTTTCGTGCCCAGTATACCAGTGCGAGATACTGGGGTTTTTGTGCGTGCAAACTGGGCGGGTGGAACTGTCCCATTTGGAAACCTGAGGTTGCATTTGCGGAAATGTGGGCTGATCCATCAGGGCTCTCCTCCTGCTCAGATCCGTAAGCAGAGGGGCACCTCGTGAGTTACAACGCAAGGCATATGGCGGACCTGAGCATCGGGAAACCAAAACCATGCACCATTTCTAGCTCTCGGTATGTTTACGATGGGCCGAACCCGGAAACTTTGGAGCTCTTCCATCTAGCCCAGTGTTGCCAACTCAGACTGGCAGCAGAGGGGAGCATTTCACATCATATGCTGCCAGCTGCCAGGATCAAACTCGAGTCCTGCATGCAGCCCATGCGCTTGGCCGTATCTCCCTCCCTCGCCATATCTCGGCGGCTTGAGATGCCTGCGTACCTTCATTCTCAAGAGACCAATCTCCCTGGCAACCTGGGATTTCCTCCTCTCACACCTGTCTCTTTCCTTCCCATTTCCAAGAAACCAGCTACTGGCGCTCGGCCACCTTCGGGGTCCTGCTCGCCTCTGCCATTCTGGCCACACTGGTGGCACTCATGTGCTTCCAAGGTAAGGGAGCGAGAGGCTGTCCGTGTTCCTTCACCTTAAAGAAAAACACGAACCTCATTTTGTGTTGGCTTAAGGATGCGGGTGGCGCTGTGGGTTAAAGCCTCAGCGCCTAGGACTTGCCGATCGAAAGGTCGGCGGTTCGAATCCCCGCGGCGGGGTGCGCTCCCGTCGTTCGGTCCCAGCGCCTGCCAACCTAGCAGTTCGAAAGCACCTTCAGGTGCAAGTAGGTAAATAGGGACCGCTTACCAGCGGGAAGGTAAACGGCGTTTCCGTGTGCGGCTCTGGCTCGCCAGATGCAGCTTGTCACGGTGGCCACGTAACCCGGAAGTGTCTCCAGACAGCGCTGGCTCCCGGCCTCTTGAGTGAGATGGGCGCACAACCCTAGAGGCTGGCAAGACTGGCCCGTACAGGCAGGGGTACCTTTACCTTTTAAGGCATGGGTAAGCAAACTAAGGCCCGGGGGTCGGATCCTGCCCAATCGCCTTCTCAAATCCAGCCCACAGATGGTCCGAGAATCAGCGTGTTTTTACATGAGTAGAATGTGTATTTTTATTTAAAATGCATCTGTGGGTTATTTGTGGGGCATAGGAATTCGTTCATTATTTTCCCCCCCAAAATATAGTCGGGCCCCCCACAAGGTCTGAGGGACAGTGGACCGGCCCCCTGCTGAAAAAGTTTGCTGACCCCCTGACTGAAGGCATGGGTAGGGAAACGAAGGCCCGGGGGCCGGATCTGGCCCAATCACGCCTGTTTGTAAACAAAAATTGCCCTTTCCCTTATGGGTTTTCCAAGAGCCCATATAGAGTCCTTTTTTGGGTTCTCTATCGGTAGGAGAAAATAACAGAGGCCAACCAGGAATATTAGAAGCAAAGCAGCCAGTAAGCCTGATCTTATTGATCTGTTGCAACAGGGTGCTCACCTCACATGCAGGAAAGAAGGAGGACCCAGAACCAAGGTTTTCCCACCCTTATATAGACATTTTAAATTGCCTGCCCTGGAGCTCAAGACCACCGCCAGAAACATCATATATACATACATCACAGAAGGGGTGTAACCCAAGACCACCCCTCAGATACATCACACCTACATCACAGAAAAGGCGGTCTACAGCAGAAATCTGAGTGCGTTGTTTATCTCATCTGACGGGTTACCTGTTTAATGGTCATAGAATCATAGAATCATAGAGTTGGAAGAGACCACAAGGGCCATCGAGTCCAACCCCCTGCCAAGCAGGAAACACCATCAGAGCACTCCTGACATATGGTTGTCAAGCCTCTGCTTAAAGACCTCCAAAGAAGGAGACTCCACCACACTCCTTTGCAGCAAATTCCACTGTCGAACAGCTCTTACTGTCAGGAAGTTCTTCCTAATGTTTAGGCGGAATCTTCTTTCTTGTAGTTTGGATCCATTGCTCCGTGTCCGCTTCTCTGGAGCAGCAGAAAACAACCTTTCTCCCTCCTCTATGTGACATCCTTTTATATATTTGAACATGGCTATCATATCACCCCTTAACCTCCTCTTCTCCAGGCTAAACATGCCCAGCTCCCTTAGCCGTTCCTCATAAGGCATCGTTTCCAGGCCTTTGACCATTTTGGTTGCCCTCCTCTGGACACGTTCCAGTTTGTCAGTGTCCTTCTTGAACTGTGGTGCCCAGAACTGGACACAGTACTCCAGGTGAGGTCTGACCAGAGCAGAGTACAGTGGCACTTTTACTTCCCTTGATCTAAATGCTATGCTCCTATTGATGCAGCCCAGAATTGCATTGGCTTTTTTAGCTGCCGCGTCACACTGTTGGCTCATGTCAAGTTTGTGGTCAACCAAGACTCCTAGATCCTTTTCATATGTACTGCTCTCAAGCAGGTGTCCCCCATCTTGTATTTGTGCCTCTCATTTTTTTTGCCCAAGTGCAATACTTTACATTTCTCCCTGTTAAAATTCATCTTGTTTGTTTTGCCCAGTTCTCTAATCTGTCCAAGGTCGTTTTGAAGTGTGATCCTGTCCTCTGGGGTGTTAGCCACCCCTCCCAGTTTGGTGTCATCTGCAAATTTGATCAGGATGCCCTTGAGTCCGTCATCCAAGTCGTTGACAAAGATGTTGATAAGACCGGCCCAAGACAGAACCCTGTGGCACCCCACTAGTCACTCTTCTCCAGGATGAAGAGGAACCATTGATGAGCACCCTTTGGGTTCGGTCAGTCAGCCAGTTACAAATCCACTGAGTGGTAGCATAGTCAAGACGATTTTACCAGCTTCTTACAAGAATATCATGGGGCACCTTGTCAAATGCCTTGCTGAAATCAAGGTAGACTACATCCACTGCGTTCCCTTCATTCTACCAGGCTTGTAATTCTGTCAAAAACGAAGATCAGCTTAGTCTGACATGACTTTATTTCAGAAATCCATGCTGACTATTGTGATCACAGCATTCCTTTCTAGGTGCTCACAGACTGTTTGCTTAATGATCTGCTCCAGAATCTTCCCTGGTATTGATGTCAGACTGACTGGGCGGTAATTATTTGGGTCCTCTCTTTTTCCTTTTTGAAAATAGGGACAACATTTGCCCTCCTCCAGTCTGCCGGGACTTCGCCTGTTCTCCAGAATTCTCAAAGATGACTGCCAGTGGTTCTGAAATCACATCTGCCAGTTCTTTTAATACTCTTGGATGCAGTTCATCTGGCCCTGGAGACTTGAATACATCTAGACTAGCCAAGTATTCTTGTACTATCTCCTTAGTTATTCTGGGCTGTGTTCCTCTGCTGAATCATTTGCTCCAAATTCTTCAGGTCGGGCATTGTTTTCTTTATCGGAGAAGACTGAGGCAAAGAAGGCATTGAGGAGTTCAGCCCTTTCTGTGTCCCTGTTTGCATTTCACCATCTTCTCCTCTGAGTGACCCCACGGTTTCTTTGTTCTTCCTTTTGCTAAACATACCCATAAAAGCCTTTTTTGTTGCTTTTAACCTCTCTAGCAAGCCTGAGTTCATTTGTGCTTTAGCTTTTCTGACTTGTGTCTACACGTGCTGGCTATTTGTTTGAATTCCTCTTGGTGGTTTCCCCCCTTTTCCATTTTTTGTACACATCCTTTTTTAATCTTAACTCAGTTAAAGTTCTTTAGATAGCCACCCTGGCTTCTTTAGGCACCTTCCATGTTTCCGTCTCATTGGTATTGCCTGAAGTTGTGCTTTTACTATCTCCCTCTAACAAACTCCCAGCCATCTTGAAACTCCTTTCCTTTTAGTATTACTGTCCATGGGATCTCACCCAGCACTTCCCTAAGCTTTATGAAGTCGGCTTCTTAAAGTCGAGAAATTGAGTCCTAGTATGCTTGGCTGCTCCTTTCCGCTGTATAGTAAACTTCAGAAGAGCATGATCACTCGCGCCTAATGATCCTTCCACTTCTACCCCACTAACCAGGTCATCAACATTGGTTAGGACCAGATCTAAAATGGCTGTTTCCTCTTGTTGCTTCTCCAGTTTTCTGGACAATGAAGTTGTCTGCAAGGGCAGTGAGGAATCTGTTTGACCTTATGCTCTGGCTGAGTTTGACATCCAACAAATATCCGGGTAATTGAAGTCCCCCATTACTACTATCTCCCTTCCTTTTGCATGCTTGGCCATCTGTTCCAGGAAGGCATCATCTATGTCCTCCGTTTGGCTTGGGGATCTATAGTAAACTCCCACAATGAGGTCACTGTTATTCTTCTCTCCCTTAATTTTGACCCAAATGCTCTCACTTTGGCTTTGAGGTTCTAAATCTTGGATCTCTTCACAGGTATACACATCCCTGACATATAACGCCACTCCTCCTCCTTTCTTGTCTGGTCTGTTTCTTTGAAATAGATTGTATCCCTCCATTATTACATTCCAATCGTGGGATTTATCCCACCAGGTTTCAGTGATTCCTATTATGTCATATTTAGTTTGCTGTACCAGGAGCTCAAGCTCATCTTGTTTATTTCCCATGCTTTTTGCGCATTAGTGTACAGACATTGAAGTCCATTAATCATTCCCCCGTGTCTCTTATTTAAGGATTTTCTCCTCCCACCACTAGGTTTGCATGCTCTTTGCTCCATTCGGTCTATGACATTTGGATGATCATCTTCATCAATTGATAGACTCCTACTTTCAGGAGCACTGTCTCCCTCCCCCACATTAGTCAGTTTAAAGCCTCCTGATGAGGTTTCTGAGATTTTTTGCAAAAACATTCCTCCCAACCGTTGTGAGGTGCAGCCCATCGCTTGCCAGAAGTCCATCTTCAAGAAACTGCATTCCGTGATCTAAGAATCCAAACCGTTCCTGTTTGCACCATTTGTGAAGCCAGTTGTTCACTTCCACTATTTTTCCCTCTCTCCCTGGGCCACGTCGTTCAACTGGGAGGACAGATGAGATGACAATTTGTGCATTTATTGCTTCAATTTCCCTGCCCAGAGCCTCGTAATCTCTTTGGATCTTCTGGAGGCTATTGCTTTGCAGTGTCATTGGTTCCCACATGAACCAAGGGAAGGGGTATTTGTCAGTGGGTTTTATGATTCCTTGCAGTCGTTCAGTTACATCTTGGATCTTAGCCCACTTGATTGGATTTCCTGGGGAGCCTGGCAGTCTTTTGTAATGATAAATACTTAGTTCTGGGCCAAGTCACAGGCTCACACCTATTCAAACACAGACATACCCTTAAGACAGGATTTGTGAAGGAAAAGACAATGGGAGGCTTTTCCACTTTGACATTGCAGAGAAAACATTTGCTCACTTTAGAATCAAAATGGCTTTAGGTTGGTCTTCCTGTGCTTGATCTATGTATGTGCGGTTATGAACATTTACCATATATCTAAGACTCAGGAAGCAAGGAGCGCGCTGCGGGCCTGTGGAACCTCCCTGCCACAATTGGCTTGAGAAGACGGCCGTGCTCATGAAGATGATGGGTTTTTCGGAGCTAGCCTGACTTGGGAATTAAGATTCCTTGTTGAGACACATGTAAGATATATTACTACTTATTTGTCATTTATAGATGTAAAATATATAGCTCTTTGTGTTCCATATAAGGACAGGAGGATATGGGTGTATCTTTTTGTGATTGGTCATACCAATCAGCCAATAGGAATTTCAACCAGGCTGATTGGACAGAGGCAGCCACAGGAGGAGCAAAGGGGGCTGGATTAAGGGAATATAAGTGCTGGCCATAATGGCAGGAGGCCAGGCCAGAGCTTGGTAACCATATACCACTGTGCCTCTCATTTATTTGTCTGACAAATAAATTATTATTTTAATTTCTCTGTTGCTGCGTTGAACATTTCATTCCAGCTAAGCGTTAACCACAAGCAGGGTGCTACAATAGAATGATCCTTGTAAAACAACCAATATAATGTTTTTTTGATATCGGACGAAAACAAGGAAAGAAATACAATAACATGGAAAAAATTGTAGAAATAATAATAGAATGAGTCTAAACGGAAGCCAAATGTGTTTTGTTTTGTTTTGTCTTCTTTTTCCTTTCCCCCCTTCTTTCCCCCCTTCTTTTTCCTTTTTTTGTGTGTGTCTCTTGGTCTTTCTCTTTTTGATATGTTAAGAAAGAGATAAAGAGCTAAAAGTGTAATATGAAAACTTCAGTAAGTCAAAAGTGATGTTGTGTAATTTTCTATTACTATTTGTATATTGTTAGAATAGGTTAATTGTAATGAATTGATGTAGGAACTGAAAAAATATAATAAATAAAGCTGGGGAAGCCAAAGTTTTGGGACGTCCCAGAGAGCCATGTTGCCAAGGTTTCTGCATGGTCCGGGGTTGGGATGGATGACCCTTAGGGGTCCCACTTCCAAAAATCTTCTAGGATCCTTTAGATAAGTTTTTTCCCTCTCTCAGGGACAGACCCCACGATAATAGGAGAAATTCAGGGGTCCCTTTGGCAGGAAAGGGGGACATTTTTAAATTTGAGAATTTGATGCAAGCGCCCATCGAAACATGGCTAACGTGGCATCACAAAATGGCTGCCGGGAGGCCATGAAGGGGCACAAAATGGCTGCCGTTTCGGGAAGGCCCCAAATGGCGTTTTGTAGCATTAAATGGAGTTTTTCCTCACGTTGCCCTTTTCTTCTCCCCACCCCCCACCCTTTCTTTTGGCATGGTCATAAATAAAATAAAATAACCCAGAAAAACTTTATCCTGCAACCCGGCCTTTGGCCTTTCACTATTGTCGCTGGCCTTTTAGAAGCCAGACGGTTTTGTTTTAAATAAATGCATTTCTTCCACTTTGCATTCAGTCATTCATTTGATACATCTTTTTAAAGGACTTTCCCTTCTTTGCTTTCGTGGGTTTTGCAAGTCTTATCTTCGTGGTGCAAGATAAGAGCAAGCGGTAAACCCCATGAACGAAACCACCGATTTCGTCTATTCATTCTTCATTTTATTGCTCCATCGGTCGTTATGTATTTATTTATTCATTCTTCATTATTTGTGGTTTATTTGCTTGCAATCGTCATTTATTTATTGATTGATTGCCGTTTTTATTTCACTCTTTATCAGCTGTTTGTTTAGTCACCATTCCTCACTTATTTATTCATTTATTTTATTGAATCTATTTCAGCGCTCTCTCTCATTTAGGGAAGTTTTTAATGCTTGATATATTTATCGTGTTTTTAATATTCGGTTGGAAGCTGCCCAGAGTGGCTGGGGGAGCCCAGCCAGATGGGCGGGGTATAAATAAATTATTATTATTATTATTATTATTATTATTATTATTATTATTATTATTATTTTATTATTTTCATTTTAAACTTTAACACAGTGTTGCTGAGGTTTTTTGGAGTTTTTTGGGGGTGTGTGTGTATGTTATTTCGCCTTCTGTGGGGCCGCAGGGGTGCATTGTGGGAAATGTAGTCCCTCATCCGCCCCGCCCCACCAGATTTGAGGCCCTGAAGGGGCATCTAGGAATTTATTTTTGCCTTCGGTTGGGCTGCAGGGGTGCATTGTGGGAAATGGAGTCCGCCACCCCACCAGATTCAACGCCCTGAGGGATTCGCCGGCGCCTGGGAACTACAACTCCCATCCTGCCTCCCTTTCCCCAGCCTGAGGCTGCCCCCCCTTGTGGCTGTGCCCTGAAGCCCCCCAGGAGGAGAACCCCCTCTTTCCAAGCAAGTCTTCCTGGGGAGCGGCAGCCTGCTCCCTTTCCCCGGTGCTGAGTGCGAAAGGCGGGCGCCTTTAGGCCGTGGTTCAGCCTCGCAGGGTGCCTGAACCCTTGGGGGGGCCACAAAGACCCTCCTTGTCCCTCGGGAGGTTTATTTTGGGGTTTTTTGGCAGGTGCGGTCGCCGGAAGGCGCTCCCCGGAAGACCCATGCTCAACGTCGCCCGCTCGGCGCGCTCTTTCCGCTCTAACACTCCCGACAGGTCGCGGGTCACCATCGCCAGCAGGAAACGCCTGGAGGATGAAGAGGGTGAGGAGGAAGGCGGCCGAGCCTGTTGTAAACAAAAATTGCCCCTTTCCCTTATGGGGTTTCCAAGAGCCCATATAGAGTCCTTTTGTGGGTTCTCTATCGGTAGGAGAAAATAACAGAGGCCAACCAGAGAATATTGAGAAGCAAAGCAGCCAGTAAGCCTGATCTTTATTGATCTGTTGCAACAGGGTGCTCACCTCACATGCAGGAAAGAAGGAGGACCCAGAACCAAGGTTTTCCCACCCTTATATAGACATTTTAAATTGCCTGCCCTGGAGCTCAAGACCACCGCCAGAAACATCATATATACATACATCACAGAAGGGGTGTAACCCAAGACCACCCCTCAGATACATCACACCTACATCACAGAAAAGGCGGTCTACAGCAGAAATCTGAGTGCGTTGTTTATCTCATCTGACGGGTTACCTGTTTAATGGTCATAGAATCATAGAATCATAGAGTTGGAAGAGACCACAAGGGCCATCGAGTCCAACCCCCTGCCAAGCAGGAAACACCATCAGAGCACTCCTGACATATGGTTGTCAAGCCTCTGCTTAAAGACCTCCAAAGAAGGAGACTCCACCACACTCCTTGGCAGCAAATTCCACTGTCGAACAGCTCTTACTGTCAGGAAGTTCTTCCTAATGTTTAGGTGGAATCTTCTTTCTTGTAGTTTGGATCCATTGCTCCGTGTCCGCTTCTCTGGAGCAGCAGAAAACAGCCTTTCTCCCTCCTCTATGTGACATCCTTTTATATATTTGAACATGGCTATCATATCACCCCTTAACCTCCTCTTCTCCAGGCTAAACATGCCCAGCTCCCTTAGCCGTTCCTCATAAGGCATTGTTTCCAGGCCTTTGACCATTTTGGTTGCCCTCCTCTGGACACGTTCCAGTTTGTCAGTGTCCTTCTTGAACTGTGGTGCCCAGAACTGGACACAGTACTCCAGGTGAGGTCTGACCAGAGCAGAATACAGTGGCACTATTACTTCCCTTGATCTAGATGCTATACTCCTATTGATGCAGCCCAGAATTGCATTGGCTTTTTTAGCTGCCGCGTCACACTGTTGGCTCATGTCAAGTTTGTGGTCAACCAAGACTCCTAGATCCTTTTCACATGTACTGCTCTCAAGCCAGGTGTCACCCATCTTGTATTTGTGCCTCTCATTTTTTTTGCCCAAGTGCAATACTTTACATTTCTCCCTGTTAAAATTCATCTTGTTTGTTTTGGCCCAGTTCTCTAATCTGTCAAGGTCGTTTTGAAGTGTGATCCTGTCCTCTGGGGTGTTAGCCACCCCTCCCAGTTTGGTGTCATCTGCAAATTTGATCAGGATGCCCTTGAGTCCGTCATCCAAGTCGTTGACAAAGATGTTGAATAAGACCGGGCCCAAGACAGAACCCTGTGGCACCCCACTAGTCACTCTTCTCCAGGATGAAGAGGAACCATTGATGAGCACCCTTTGGGTTCGGTCAGTCAGCCAGTTACAAATCCACTGAGTGGTAGCATAGTCAAGACCGCATTTTACCAGCTTCTTTACAAGAATATCATGGGGCACCTTGTCAAATGCCTTGCTGAAATCAAGGTAGACTACATCCACTGCGTTCCCTTCATCTACCAGGCTTGTAATTCTGTCAAAAAACGAGATCAGCTTAGTCTGACATGACTTATTTTTCAGAAATCCATGCTGACTATTGGTGATCACAGCATTCCTTTCTAGGTGCTCACAGACTGTTTGCTTAATGATCTGCTCCAGAATCTTCCCTGGTATTGATGTCAGACTGACTGGGCGGTAATTATTTGGGTCCTCTCTTTTCCCCTTTTTGAAAATAGGGACAACATTTGCCCTCCTCCAGTCTGCCGGGACTTCGCCTGTTCTCCAGGAATTCTCAAAGATGACTGCCAGTGGTTCTGAAATCACATCTGCCAGTTCTTTTAATACTCTTGGATGCAGTTCATCTGGCCCTGGAGACTTGAATACATCTAGACTAGCCAAGTATTCTTGTACTATCTCCTTAGTTATTCTGGGCTGTGTTTCCTCTGCTGAATCATTTGCTCCAAATTCTTCAGGTCGGGCATTGTTTTCTTTATCGGAGAAGACTGAGGCAAAGAAGGCATTGAGGAGTTCAGCCCTTTCTGTGTCCCCTGTTTGCATTTCACCATCTTCTCCTCTGAGTGACCCCACGGTTTCTTTGTTCTTCCTTTTGCTACGAACATACCCATAAAAGCCTTTTTTGTTGCTTTTAACCTCTCTAGCAAGCCTGAGTTCATTTTGTGCTTTAGCTTTTCTGACTTTGTGTCTACACGTGCTGGCTATTTGTTTGAATTCCTCTTTGGTGGTTTCCCCCCTTTTCCATTTTTTGTACACATCCTTTTTTAATCTTAACTCAGTTAAAAGTTCTTTAGATAGCCACCCTGGCTTCTTTAGGCACCTTCCATGTTTCCGTCTCATTGGTATTGCCTGAAGTTGTGCTTTTACTATCTCCCTCTTAACAAACTCCCAGCCATCTTGAACTCCCTTTCCTTTTAGTATTACTGTCCATGGGATCTCACCCAGCACTTCCCTAAGCTTTATGAAGTCGGCTTTCTTAAAGTCGAGAAATTGAGTCCTAGTATGCTTGGCTGCTCCTTTCCGCTGTATAGTAAACTTCAGAAGAGCATGATCACTCGCGCCTAATGATCCTTCCACTTCTACCCCACTAACCAGGTCATCAACATTGGTTAGGACCAGATCTAAAATGGCTGTTCCTCTTGTTGCTTCTCCCACTTTCTGGACAATGAAGTTGTCTGCAAGGGCAGTGAGGAATCTGTTTGACCTTATGCTCTTGGCTGAGTTTGACATCCAACAAATATCCGGGTAATTGAAGTCCCCCATTACTACTATCTCCCTTCCTTTTGCATGCTTGGCCATCTGTTCCAGGAAGGCATCATCTATGTCCTCCGTTTGGCTTGGGGATCTATAGTAAACTCCCACAATGAGGTCACTGTTATTCTTCTCTCCCTTAATTTTGACCCAAATGCTCTCACTTTGGCTTTGAGGTTCTAAATCTTGGATCTCTTCACAGGTATACACATCCCTGACATATAACGCCACTCCTCCTCCTTTCTTGTCTGGTCTGTTTCTTTGAAATAGATTGTATCCCTCCATTATTACATTCCAATCGTGGGATTTATCCCACCAGGTTTCAGTGATTCCTATTATGTCATATTTAGTTTGCTGTACCAGGAGCTCAAGCTCATCTTGTTTATTTCCCATGCTTTGCGCATTAGTGTACAGACATTGAAGTCCATTAATCATTCCCCCGTGTCTCTTATTTAAGGATTTTCTCCTCCCACCACTAGGTCTGCATGCTCTTTGCTCCATTCGGTCTATGACATTTGGATGATCATCTTCATCAATTGATAGACTCCTACCTTCAGGAGCACTGTCTCCCTCCCCCACATTAGTCAGTTTAAAGCCCTCCTGATGAGGTTTCTGAGATTTTTTGCAAAAACATTCCTCCCAACCGTTGTGAGGTGCAGCCCATCGCTTGCCAGAAGTCCATCTTCAAGAAACTGCATTCCGTGATCTAAGAATCCAAACCGTTCCTGTTTGCACCATTTGTGAAGCCAGTTGTTCACTTCCACTATTTTTCCCTCTCTCCCTGGGCCACGTCGTTCAACTGGGAGGACAGATGAGATGACAATTTGTGCATTTAATTGCTTCAATTTCCTGCCCAGAGCCTCGTAATCTCTTTTGATCTTCTGGAGGCTATTGCTTGCAGTGTCATTGGTTCCCACATGAACCAAGAGGAAGGGGTATTTGTCAGTGGGTTTTATGATTCCTTGCAGTCGTTCAGTTACATCTTGGATCTTAGCCCACTTGATTGGATTTCCTGGGGAGCCTGGCCAGTCTTTTGTAATGATAAATACTTAGTTCCTGGGCCAAGTCACAGGCTCACACCCTATTCAAACACAGACATACCCTTAAGACAGGATTTGTGAAGGAAAAGACAATGGGGAGGCTTTTCCACTTTGACATTGCAGAGAAAACATTTGCTCACTTTAGGAATCAAAATGGCTTTAGGTTGGTCTTCCTGTGCTGATCTATGTATGTGCGGTTATGAACATTACCATATATCTAAGACCTCAGGAAGCAAGGAGCGCGCTGCGGGCCTGTGGAACTCCCTGCCACAACTTGGCTTGAGAAGACGGCCGTGCTCATGAAGATGATGGGTTTTTCGGAGCTAGCTGACCTGGGCTGGGAGAGTCCGTGATCAGAAGGAGGAGGATTACCAGGAAGAACGGACGAAATTTAAAGACTATTTAGTTAAATATGTTAAGTTCAACTAATTGGAAAAGCTTGCAAAGAACAGATAGGCTTAGGATTTAAAGACGTAATGTGATGAATTAATATGTTTCATGCTGAATTGGAAAGAAAGAAAGATGTTAAGTGATTAAGTTAATTTTATAAGAAGACTGGTTTTGGAAAACCGTTAAAATGATATACACCGAAATTCAACCCCATGCTCTTTCTTTTCAAATTTTTAAAAATTAATTTTCCAGATTTAACACAACACAAAATAACAAACATATAAAAAGAAAAACAAACATACATTCACAGCTTCTTACAGTTAAAACTCCAAATTGCATTCCATTATTGGGTGACTTCCTCAAATCCTTCCTAACTGATTTTCATTCAATCTCATTTTAGCAATTTTCCAATATCCACTTTCTAATAAAATTAACTTGTTCAAATGACTAACTCCCTTTCTTTTCATAATATTCTCAAGCCATTATCTTATACAATTCAACATAATTTAATCCTAAACCAAATTTAGCACTTGCAAGTATTTCCACTTATATTACGTTTTACTAAATATTCCTTAAATTTCTTCCATTTTTCCTGATGTTCCTCCTCTTTCTGATCGCGGATTCTTTTTGGTCGGCCAGCTCCAAAAAGTCCAACATCTTCATCTGCCAGTCTTCCAATGTTGGTATTTCCTGTGATTTCCAATTTTGGGCAAGTAAAATCCTTGCTGCAGTTGCGGCATACAAAAACAATCTAACATCTTTTTTAGGCAATCTACCCATGCTCTTATGGCGCAGAGCTGTCCGTCCTGGGGAAAAAGGCTGCCCTGTGGGCAATCTTCTACCATGCAGGCTGATAGATGAACTTCATTTTTGGGCAGAAATTCCGACTTTTGGAAGGGGTGCGTACCTTTCCCACGTTTCTCCGGCGAAATTTTTTAATAATATAATAAATTTTTATTTATTTTTGCTGGAGAAGCTTCCTGATGTAGAATAGGATGTCCCAATTTTCTTCGGAGAAATGTTGGAGCGTATGTAGCAGGGAGACGTTTATCCCGGCCTATTGGAGCGCGTTGGAGCCTTTCGTGCCCAGTATACCAGTGCGAGATACTGGGGTTTTTGTGCATGCAAACTGGGCGGGTGGAACTGTCCCATTTGGAAACCTGAGGTTGCATTTGCGGAAATGTGGGCTGATCCATCAGGGCTCTCCTCCTGCTCAGATCCATAAGCAGAGGGGGCACCTCGTGAGTTACAACGCAAGGCATATGGCGGACCTGAGCATCGGGAAACCAAAACCATGCACCATTTCTAGCTCTCGGTATGTTTACGATGGGCCGAACCCGGAAACTTTGGAGCTCTTCCATCTAGCCCAGTGTTGCCAACTCAGACTGGCAGCAGAGGGGAGCATTTCACATCATATGCTGCCAGCTGCCAGGATCAAACTCGAGTCCTGCATGCAGCCCATGCGCTTGGCCGTATCTCCCTCCCTCGCCATATCTCGGCGGCTTGAGATGCCTGCGTACCTTCATTCTCAAGAGACCAATCTCCCTGGCAACCTGGGATTTCCTCCTCTCACACCTGTCTCTTTCCTTCCCATTTCCAAGAAACCAGCTACTGGCGCTCGGCCACCTTCGGGGTCCTGCTCGCCTCTGCCATTCTGGCCACACTGGTGGCACTCATGTGCTTCCAAGGTAAGGGAGCGAGAGGCTGTCCGTGTTCCTTCACCTTAAAGAAAAACACGAACCTCATTTTTGTGTTGGCTTAAGGATGCGGGTGGCGCTGTGGGTTAAAGCCTCAGCGCCTAGGACTTGCCGATCGAAAGGTCGGCGGTTCGAATCCCCGCGGCGGGGTGCGCTCCCGTCGTTCGGTCCCAGCGCCTGCCAACCTAGCAGTTCGAAAGCACCTTCAGGTGCAAGTAGGTAAATAGGGACCGCTTACCAGCGGGAAGGTAAACGGCGTTTCCGTGTGCGGCTCTGGCTCGCCAGATGCAGCTTGTCACGGTGGCCACGTAACCCGGAAGTGTCTCCAGACAGCGCTGGCTCCCGGCCTCTTGAGTGAGATGGGCGCACAACCCTAGAGGCTGGCAAGACTGGCCCGTACAGGCAGGGGTACCTTTACCTTTTAAGGCATGGGTAAGCAAACTAAGGCCCGGGGGTCGGATCCTGCCCAATCGCCTTCTCAATCCAGCCCACAGATGGTCCGAGAATCAGCGTGTTTTTACATGAGTAGAATGTGTATTTTTATTTAAAATGCATCTGTGGGTTATTTGTGGGGCATAGGAATTCGTTCATTATTTCCCCCCCAAAATATAGTCGGGCCCCCCACAAGGTCTGAGGGACAGTGGACCGGCCCCCTGCTGAAAAAGTTTGCTGACCCCTGACTGAAGGCATGGGTAGGGAAACGAAGGCCCGGGGGCCGGATCTGGCCCAATCACCTTCTCAGTCCAGCCCACAGACAGTCCGGGAATCAGTGTGTTTTTTACATGAGTAGAATGTGTGCTTTTATTTCAAATGCATCTCTGGGCTATTTGTGGGGCATAGGAATTTGTTCATTATTATTTTTTCTAAAATATAGTCTGGCCCCCCACAAGGTCTGAGGGATTTAAATTAAATTTAAATTAAAAAAATAAAAGCACTGAGTAGGAATGCAAGCAAGTAGGAATGGGATCGGGGCTGCTCCGACAGGCAGTGTAAAGCCTCTCTTCCCAGCTGAGGGATCCCAACCCAAGAAGCCATGCGCGCCTCCCCGCCTCCTGCTCCTTCCCCTTTCAGAGGAGAAATAGAGACGGCAATGGCTAGAGAGGTGCCGCCCGCAATGTTTCCTGCAACGGAAAGGGACTTGGGCTCCTCTGGCGCCTGCCTGCCTGCAGCCCCTCCAGGGATAGGCCCTCCCTGCCCCGCGTAATTCCCGACTCCACAGCAAGGCTGCATCGCCACGTGGAGCTGCCCGAGCCGAAACGATTGCGCGCCCCGCTGCTCGCTCTGTCTGCAGCGCCAGGGCAATTGCCGGGCGCCGGCAGGCCTGGTTTAGAACCCTGGGGAGCCTGATCCAGCCCAGGGGCCGTAGTTTGCCAACCCCTGTTATAAACCGTGGGATCCTTCTGGGTCATCGGGGCAGGGTTAGGTCATTGTTATGTACTGAGTTGAATAGGATCCAAAAGGCAGCAGTCTGATTGGTCCTAGAACAATGGGATTCAGAATGCAGCAGTCTGATTGGTCTTAGAACAATAGGATCCAAAAGGCAGCAGTCTGATTGGTCCTAGAACAATAGGATCCAGAATGCAGCAGTCTGATTGGTCCTGGAACAATAGGGTCCAGAATACAGCAATCTGATTGGTTCACAGGAGCCACCCAATACAGCTCCAGGTGGAAGTGAATCCGCAACCAGATTGGCCTACAGGAGAATCCCGGAATTAGCCAATCACGTGGGGCCCATTGTGTAAATAATGTATATAAAGCAGACATTCTGGGGGAACTTCCATTCCTCACTACCATGAGCTGAATAAAGAGCATGAAATCCACACTCGACTCCGAGTATATTTCAGTCATCAAATGAAACAATGGCTTCAAAACCAGGGCTGCTTCTTCACCATAGCTGTCAAGTTATCCCTTTTCTTGCGAGGAATCCTATTCGGAATAAGGGAATTTCCCTTAAGAAAAGGGAAACGTTGACAGCTATGTTCTTCACAGAGGCAGCCCGTCCTTCTCAGGGGCTTTGTGAGAATGGCGCGGATGAATTTGGGTCTACTCAACCTGTCTTGTCTTTGGTTCTCGTTTGAAGTGGAGAAGCTGTCGAAACAGGCAGAGAGTCACAATGACGTGATGGAGCTACAGATCATCATCCTGACTGAAATTCTGAGGCAGCTACAGATCGGGAAAGGTAGATGAGGGCATTGTTTTGTGTCCCCCCACCCTTCTCTTAAACCAGTTTATTCATTCGTTCATTTTTTAAAAAATAAATCATTTCACAGGAGAAACAACGGCCAAGGATTGCAGATGGGAAAAGTTTTTAGTAAGAAAGAAATTATTGGTGCCGGTTCTAGTGATTTGTCCATTTACAGATAGCGTGTAATATATTGGACACTCTGGACAGAATTGTTGTAATTTGCAATAAAAGGAACCACAAACCAATAAAGAACTTGCACATCCTGGAACCTCCAGCTATTGCAACAAACATCTCCAGGGCCGGATTTCGGTTTGATGAGGCCCTAAGCTCCTGAAAGTAATGGGGCCTTTTATATGTCCAGCTGTCCTTTGTCAACAACAAATTGCCACTGATTTTTTGTGTGTTGAATAAATGCTATATGGTCATTGATGGACCTCATAGGTATCTCAAGCCATTTGCACATGACAAAAACTGTATTTTATCAAAGTAATGGTTGAATTGAAATACAATTAAGAAGATCGTGAAGCTGACAGATCGTGAAGCTGAGGCTCCAATACTTTGGCCACCTCATGAGAAGAGAAGACTCCCTGGAAAAGACCCTGATGTTGGGAAAGATGGAGGGCACAAGGAGAAGGGGGCGACAGAGGATGAGATGGTTGGACAGTGTTCTCGAAGCATGAGTCTGACCAAACTGCGGGAGGCAGTGGAAGACAGGAGTCCCTGGCGTGCTCTGGTCCATGGGGTCACGAAGAGTCGGACACGACTAAACGACTAAACAACAACAACATATTAATAGTGAAATACAAGTAAGAAGAAGTACAGTGGACGCTCAGGTTGCGAACGTGATCCATGCGGGATGCATGTTCGCAACCTGCAGCGGCGCATCTGCGCATGGGCTGGTTGCGATTTGGCACTTCTGCGCATGCACAAAGAGCAATTTAGTTCTTCTGCACATGCGCGGCCGCTGAAGCCCGGAAGTAACCCGTTCCAGGTTTCGGCGTGTCTGTAACCCAAAAAAGCGCAACCTGAAGAGTCTGTAACCCCTGGTATGACTGTATATTAATAGTGAAATAATTACTAAGCTCTAACTGTATGTAGGTTTTATTTTATTTGTTTTTTATCTTTTATTTTCGAAATGTACACCCAGTTTCCCGCCCCCTTTAAATTTTTTTGGGGGGCCAAGAAAACGCGGCCCTAAGCTATAGCTTGTTTAGCTTATGCGTAAATCTCCAGCACTGCCTGTCACCCTTTCGGCCCATTCAGGGGTAGGGAAGGGGGATAAATGATACTTCTGTACAACTGTCAAGTTTTTCATGCACACTCCCCCTTTAGCTATCAACTGCAGTGTGTGCAAGATGCAGTGGCTACAGCACAAAGATTCCTGCTACCTTTTCCGAGAAAGGAAGATGGGCTGGCGTTCCAGCATGGGCTTCTGCAGAGATGAGTTCTCCTCCCTGGCCGTCATCCACAACGACACAGAACAGATGGTACTGGGGCTTGTCTGGCTTGCTGCGGGGATGGAGATGGGCAAGGCTTGATAGCTTCAGGGTTCCCTCTCCCCATGCCTCACCCCCATATCACCTAGCAGTAGTTCAGCTCTGCCCCCACCATATACCGTATTTTTCGCTCTATAAGACACACGTTTTCCCCTCCTAAAAAGTAAGGGGAAATGTCTGTGCGTCTTATGGAGCGAATGCAGGCTGCACAGCTATCGCTGAAACCAGGAAAGCAGGAGGGATTGGTGCGCACTGATCCCTCTTGCTCTCCTGGCTTCAGCAATAGCCGCACGAAGCCTCTTCAGGGCAACGGGAGGAACGCTCCCCCTGCCCTGAAGAGGCTTGGTGCGTCTATCCCAGAAGCCAGAACAGCAAGAGGCTGCTCAGCGATCCCTCTTGCTGTTCTGACTTCGCTTCACTGGAGAGGCGCTGTGCAGAGAGGGAAAGCTGCGCAGAGCCCCTTCAGCGAAGCAGGAGGAGAAACGAAGCCCCTTCCATTTCTCCTCCCGCTTTGCTGGAGAGGCGCTGCTGTGCAGAGAGGGAGAGAATATTTTTTTTCTTGTTCTCCTCCTCTAAAACTAGGTGCGTCTTATGGAGCGAAAAATACAGTATTATACCTTTAAAGCAACCCATTTGATGACTGGGCTGTGTCCTTAGAGAATAATCAGTGATTTAAAAACCCCCCAAAACCCAATAGGTACTGTTAGAAGTAAAAATACCAATCTCAAGACTTGAGGCCCTAAACGGCCTCGGTCCAGTACTTGGTCCAGTAAACCTGAAGGAGCGTCTCCACCCCCATCTTTCTGCCCAGACACTGTGGTCCAGCTCCGAGAGTCTTCTGGCAGTTCCCCCCCCTGCGAGAAGCCAAGTTACAGGGAACCAGGCAGAGGGCCTTCTTGGTAGTGGCACCCGCCCTGTGGAACGCCCTCCCTTCAGAGGTCAAGGAAATGGGAGGTCAAGAGGATCTCTGTGGGAGTGATCTGGCCTTGCCGACCCCTGCCTTATTGCTTTCTGCCATCCCTTTGCTCCTCTCCTCCCGTTTTTTGCTGAGCTGGTTGCTAGGGAAGAGAGGCAGATTTCTCTTGCCAGAGTCTTGAACTGACAGCTCACATACTCAGGTTTTTGAACATTAGGTTGAAGGGCAGTGGTGTATCTCCCCTCCTGAAGGCAGGGTGCTTGTGGCTTTGCCTTGCAGAACTTCCTGAGGTTTGAATCAAAGAAACATTTCCGCCAGCGCCACGGCAAGAATAAATACTACAAATTCTGGATGGGCCTGGTGTACGACGTCGTCACGAAGCAATGGAAATGGGCAGATGGCTCTCTCTATAACCCCAAAATGTAAGTGACTCTGACACCCCCATACTCCCTAATTCATTTGTCACAAGATTGGGTAATCATTATTAAGCTATATTTCATTATTATTATTATTATTATTATTATTATTATTATTATTATTTTCAATTATATACATTTCAGTACAGTGGTACCTTGGTTTAAGAACAGCCCTGTTTATTAACTATTGGGTATGCAAACTCAGCAAAACCGGAAGTAGTGTCCCGGTTTGCGAACAGACGGTGTTCAAATGGTGGAAGGGCACTGGCGGCAGGAGGCCTCATTAGGGAAAGCGCACCTTTAACATGTTAAAAAGCACATTTTAACATTTCAAATCTCGACTTCCTTCCCTTTCTTTCTGCAGTTCCTTAATTTTTTTTAAAAAAATATATTTTCTGCATATTCCAGATTAACTTAATTTCCTCATTTATTCATCTACTTTAAATATATTCTCTTATAAAACTGGAGGTTATTACAATAATCCTGTCAGTGTTCTTATCTGTTTACAGTTTACAGTAGTACTTTGGTCCTCAAACAGAATCCGTTTGCCTCCCGAAACTATACAAAAACCAAGGCGCGACTTCCGATTGGCTGCAGGAAATTCCTGCACTCAAGTGGAGGCCATGTCGGACGTTCGGCTTCCAAAAATCGTTCACAAACCAGAACACTTACTTGGCATTCGAGAGCCAATTTGTTTGAGAATCAAGGTACCACTGTACTTGTAAATATTCAATAAACCATGAGGTGGAGGGGCAGTGGGAGGAGGCAGGCTCTGTGCAAGGCGGTGGAGAAGCAGGGGAAGGAGGGAGGGGTGCTGGAGGAGGCAGCAGTTGCAGTGTGTAGCCTCGAGCGAGGGGATCTTTCAAGGTAGAGTGGACAGGGGGAGCAATGATAGAGTCACATCTATCATTGTATTTTTCGCTCTATAAGAAGCACCAGACCATAAGACGCACCTAGTTTTTGGAAGATGAAAACAAGAAAAAAAAAAATCTGATTCACAGAAGCCAGGACAGCCAGCGGCAGCATTGCGATCCCGCTCGCTGTCCTGGCTTCTTGCTTGGCCGCGCGCAGCCTCTCCCGGGCAAGGGGAGCCTTCATCCCCTGCCCAGGAGAGGCTGCACGCAGCTAAGGCCTCCCCAAGAGCCGCACTCCCTTTAAAGAGCACGCGGAGTGTGGGTGCGGCTCCTTGGGAAAAAGCCCTCAAGAGCCGCACACACGCTCCACGGGGCTCTTTAAAGGGAGTGCTGATCAGAGCCTCCCGCCTGCATTCGCTCCATAAGACGCACACACATTTCCCCTTACTTTTTAGGAGGGGGAAAGTGTGTCTTGTTGAGCGGAAAATACTGTATATGCGCAGAGCTTGGGATGCAAGCACACACCACGCAGCCGAGAAAGTGGTGTGTTGCGGAGCCAGCGGAGAGAGCTCTGGACTGCGGGAAAGTACCCGAAGCCTTCCCGCCTCGGACGGGCACCAAGCCCCTGCTCCACCTCGATTACCTCCCTGCTATCCCCTCCCCGGACTCTCCGCCTAGCGTCCTCCACTGGTTGGCACCCTGGCTCGCTGCTCCACTACGCCCAGTGGTAAAGACGGCCCTGCGTAGAAATAAAAGGCTGTCCACAATATCTTTGCTTAGTTTTATTTTCAAAAACCTAACCGTCAAAAACTGCAAGCCCTCACTCCTCCTCACCAGCCGCATACAAAACATTTACAGTGATACCTTGGGTTACAGACGCTTCCGGTTACAGACTCTGCTAACCCAGAAATATTACCTTGGGTTAAGAACTTTGCTTCAGGATGAGAACAGAAATTGCGCGGCGGCAGCAGGAGGCCCCATTAGCTAAAGTGGTGCTTCAGGTTAAGAACAGTTTCAGGTTAAGAACGGACCTCCGGAACAAATTAAGTACTTAACCTGAGGTACCACTATAATCAAATACAGTTTTCAAATAATCAGTTATCCTATCACATCCCTTCCTGCATCCGGTGCAGAAAGTAAACTCCTCTTTTAATTAGTCAAATAGTCAAGAGACCGCAGGTGTGCATAAGTTCATAACTTACGGAACATGCAGAACTGGCAAAATTAACAGATAAATTACATGAAAAGGATAACAAAGACCTTAAGAGAGAATGGGAACCGTTTACAAGATATATGAAGAAGCAACGTGAAGAATTGGACTCAGTGGCAGGGTTTGAATAAACAAACACAATTGTATATAACAAAAAGTAAGATGATATGGATTGGGAAAAATTTGGGGAACAGCACGCAGGGTGAGTAATATGGAAATAAAACAAAATGGGAATATGAGGGAAGTCCAGAGGGGGGGGGGTATGGAAAATTGTTAGAAAATATTGTTAGAGGATGTATACATGGAAAAACCAATTACCGTATTTTTCGCTCCGTAAGACGCACCTGACCATAAGATACGCCTAGTTTTTATAGGAGGAAAACAAGGAAAAAAATATTCTGAACGCAACAGTGGATGTATGATTTTTGTGGTTCATGCTGTGGCCACAGAAATGTGATTTGATGGTGAGTTTGGGGTAGCCCAATGCAAAAATCCTGAGGATCCATGTGGATCCTTGCTTTGTAACCACGTTTTTGCGCCATTGCGGCCCCACGAAACAGTGGATGCGTGATTTTTTTGGTGCAGGCTGTAGCCATGGACATGCTATGTGATCTGATGGTGAATTTGGGGTGAATTTGGGGTGACCTGATGTAAAAATCCTGAGGATCCATGGGCTTTTACCTCCCCCCTCCCAAGCAGCCTCTTTTATCGCGTCCCTTATCTCTCTTCCGATCCCACCAATCAGCTGTTTCCTTTCAACACTCCCTTCCCTCTTGTTTGCCTTAGTGTCTTTTCCTTAGCTGGAACAGTTTTTTGCTCCTCCTTTTCTTCTAATTTCTCTCCTCATTGATTTAGTCTTCCTGTCTCCTCTCCTTGCAAGTTTGCTGTCTTTACCTCCCCCCTCCCAGGCAGCATCCCTTATCTCCCTCCCTGATTGCTTGCCAATTAGCGGCTTTGTTTCAACACCCACTTCCCTCTTTCAAAAGAAAAGAACATGATCTGCTTTTTGCCCCTGGGCAATTCTGCTCCAGGGACCACGCATTCGCTCCATAAGACACACAGACATATCCCCTTACTTTTTAGGAAGAAAAAAGTGTGTCTTATGGAGCGAAAAATACGGTATTTTTTTTTTTTAAAGAGAGAGAGAGACCACAGATGTGCAGCTAAGTAGGTCAAACTGCAAACATGCACCTCTGAGTAGCACCATTGACCTTAAGATAAAGACAAACCAACACCTTCTCCCTTTCTGTGTTGCAGGCATGGAAAGCTGCCCCCCAAGGGCTGCGCCTACCTCCGAAACGGATCGCTTTTCTCCCAGGAGTGTGAGAAATTGGCTTACGTCATGTGTCAGACGGCACTCCGGTTTGGCTGGAGTTGAGCAGCTGTGGAAGAGGAGAAGGAGGCGCAGAAGCTGGTGTGGGTATGTGGTTGTGATCCCAGCATCCCGTCGGATCAGGACCCCCTCCTCTCCCCCATCTCACGGCAGTGTTGTGGCTGTTTCCCTTCAGAAGTCCCCAGAACGTTACAGTAAATAAATTTTCATTTCACAGAATGTCTGGAGACATTGATTCCCCCCCCCCATTATTTTTTATTGTTTTCCCACAGGTTTACAAATCGGTCCAAATTATTTAAATTTAATACAATTTCTTTTTTAAATAATCAGGTTTTCTGCTCCTGTTGCAAACCTACGTCCATTACTTCCTGATGTAGCGACTTCATTCTTCTTTAATAATAAAAATAAAAATAATAAATTTTTATTTATACCCCGCCCTTCCTGGTTCAGAAAACCGGGCTCAGGTGCTCGCTTCGGCAGCACATATACCAGAAAACCGGGCTCAGGGCGGCTAACAAGAAATTGAAAACACTTAATTGATGCAACAAGAAACAGTATAAAATACAGTATAAAATGTGAGTAACGATAAATTTAGAATTCAAAAATCAATTTAGGGGGTAAATCCATTCAATAAACATTAGATGGTCACCAGGGCTAGCTGGCTAATTTAGTCCTATTTGGGCCAGCGAGGAGACCAGGGGAGAATTAGCTGTGGGATCCCAGAGCAGGTAATCTTCATAAAAAGAGGAGGGGGAGGGAAGGAAGGGGAATAAGAGATCATGCTAAGTTCATATTGAAAGCCAGGTGGAATAGCTTTGTCTTACAGGCCCGATAGAAGGAGGTTAAATCCTGCAGGGCCCTGGTCTCATGGGACAGAGCATTCCACCAGGTCGGAGCCATCACTGAGAAGGCCCTGGCCCTGGTGGAGGATAGTCTGACTTCCTTAGGGCCTGGGACCTCTAAACTGTGATTATTCATGGACCCCAAGGTCCTCTGCGGGGCAGACCAGGAGAGGCGGTCCCCGTAATACGAGGGCCCTATGCCACAAAGGGCTTTAAAGGTCAAGACCAGCACCTTGTAGAGTTGGAGGACCCTGAGGACCATTATTATTATTAATATTATTATTATTATCTAATGCAGGAATGAATATGCACCTGTCCTGTGCGGGGCTCGAACCTGCAACCTTGGAGTTATTAGCACCATGTTCTAACCAGCTGAGCTCTCCATGCTATACCTGGTGGAGAACTTGATGCTTGGCTGGTCTCATGGGACAGAGCATTCCACCAGGTCGGAGCCATTACTGAGAAGGCCCTGGCCCTGGTGTAGGGGGTCCATAGCAGGGGGTCCATAGATCAACGAAGATCAACCAAGGAAACCCTGCAATCGACCAGTACATTGTGATTGACCTGTTGGACATGCCCGCCATAGCATAACGATTCCTCTTAAAATACCCACAGATTTTTGGGAAAGCACTAAGAAAATGCGTTGGGAAATGTGGGGTGAACGAATGAATAACAGCAATACATGTGAACATCCCGTGAGCAAATCAGAATGAAGGCAGAATGAATACTCATTGTTATACAACTGCCCCCATAAAGCTGAAAAAATGCTCAGTGAAGTCTGGACATTTTCCAACATCCACTTAAGCTTTGGTGGAGGGAAGGGGGAAATCAAGAATTAAATAAAAACATTAAAAAATCAGGTGATCTGGAATGGGGGGAAATGGATTTAGTTTACATTTAGAGGTGAACTAATTTGAACTTTCTGGAACAACAGGAGAACCAAAACATAGCCAGCCTTCAAAATCTACACTTCTCTGAATTCTCACAAAATTAGACACAGTGGTCCTGGGAGGGTGATTGGTGCACAAAGCAAAGACAATGGTCTTTGCTGCTTAACAGCAAAGGACCTGGTTAATTTGTTTGCTAATTGCATTTCTACCCCACCTTGTCCTTCAAGGACCCTCGTTTAATCAACAATGAACCAGCAGTAAATCACACCAAATGGGTTGCAGTTAACTCTTTATTAGCAAAACAGGATCGGCACAGGAGTGTCAGGCCTAATGAGCACGGCCCCTCAGGTCTTGCCCCCCAGGCAGCAGTTGCTGAGACTACAGCTTCTGGGCCTCCCCACAGCTGTCCCCTCCTCTCCAGGGTTGCCCCCAAGCAATCGGAGACTGTGCAAGTCTGTCTCTGCTCCCCCAGCTTCATGCCACTCCTGGTTCTGGGAGACCAGGGAGAGGAGAGCTTGTCTCAGCAGCAGGAGGGGATACCCATGACTCTTCACCAGACTGATTCCTGCCTGCCTCTTCGACCCCTTCCTCTCCTGCTACAGCTTCCACCTCTGATTCTGGACTCCTCTCTGCCACCGACTCTCCCAGCTCACTAAGCCCTGTTGCCTCTTCTGCTTACGACACCTCCTTCTCCTCCCAGTCCTCTCCTTCTGACCCCTCATCATCGTCCCACCACCCCTTCCTGGGATCTGAGCCTCCTTCCCTTGGGGGCTCCCCAACTGGTCCCCCCCCCCGCTGTTCCTCTGCATCCAACCAGTCCATGATCTTGAGATAGGTTAGGCCAGGGGTCTGCAAAATTTTTCAGCAGGGGGAACGGTCCACTGTCCCTCAGACCTTGTGGGGGGGGTGGACTGTATTTTTTGGGGGGGGGGATGAATGAGGGACGATGAAGGGAGCTGGGCATGTTTAGCCTGGAGAAGAGGAGGTTAAGGGGTGATATGATAGCCATGTTCAAATATATAAAAGGATGTCATATAGAGGAGGGAGAAAGGTTGTTTTCTGCTGCTCCAGAGAAGCGGACACGGAGCAATGGATCCAAACTACAAGAAAGAAGATTCCACCTAAACATTAGGAAGAACTTCCTGACAGTAAGAGCTGTTCGACGGTGGAATTTGCTGCCAAGGAGTGTGGTGGAGTCTCCTTCTTTGGAGGTCTTTAAGCAGAGGCTTGACAACCATATGTCAGGAGTGCTCTGATGGTGTTTCCTGCTTGGCAGGGGGTTGGACTCGATGGCCCTTGGGGTCTCTTCCAACTCTATGATTCTATGATGAGCAGCGTGCGAAAGGGCTCCGGTGTGATGGCCTGGGACTCAGGCTTGGACTCGGAACCAGAGGAGTCTCAGTCTGCATCGGATCCTTTGCCTCAGGCGGCAGCTGAACCCAGTCTGGGGCCTGATCCTGAAGAGTCCCAGTCTGCAGAGGTTCCCCTGCAACAAGCACCAGCTGAGCCGAGTCAGGGGCCTGAGCTTGCCCTGGCTCCAGATGCGGGGATGACCTCATTGCCTCCAGCTGGGCCGTCACTTACAGCTGCTCCACTACCAGTTGGGTCAGGGGAGGCTGAGGCGGCCTCTGGGTCTAGTAACCCACCAACGTCTCCCGAGCTGCAGAGACTGAGGTCTGAGAGAAGGAGAGACCTGAGTACTCGCAGGAGGAGTGCTCACCTTCAGGCGAGACAGGGAGGTGAGTCGCTGGGGGATCAGGACCGGCCGTTACCCCGACAAAGATAAAAGGCTGCTGGACCCCGCCCCAGGTTGCGGGAGCAATATTGCTGTTTGCCAGAACCTGCCTGATTCTGTGCCTGACCTTGCCTGGTTTCCTGCCTCATGTCCTGCCTTGGCCCCATTGGACTGACTCCTAGCGGAACCCTTGGATTCGGGACTGGACCTGGACCACGTTTCACGGGTTACCCCCTGGGCTCAGCACATCCAGATAGGGGCTGCTTTAAATGGCGGCCGTTCGAGGGGACGCTCAGCCAACCATGGCTCCTGTCTTAAGAGTAGCAGGGGCTGGTGGCGGCGGTGGTGGAGGGATGATGAGCAGTGCACGAAAGGGCTCTGGAGAGGGGCTGGAACCCGCAAAGCCCAGCCCCCTTCCTCCTCTAGGCAGGGTGGGGAGAAGCCAGGAGGAGGGAGGGAGGAGGCGCTGCCGCTGTGTGTGTGGAGAATGATGCACCTTGAACAATCAGAATCAGATCCACGCGGCGATTCCCGGACTGTCCGCTAGCCAGATCCAGAAGGCAATTGGGCCAGATCCGGCCCCCGGGCCTTAGTTTGCTGACCCGTGGGTTAGGCTGAGAGCCAGGGACTGGCCCCTCAAGGTCACCCTGTCAGCTTCAAGGCCCAGTGGGGCTCCGAACGCTGGTCTCCCCCAGGTCCTAGCCCAACCCTCTCACCACTACACCACACTCTCTCTCTCGCCTTTCGATGGATCTTAAAAGGGTGTGTTGTCCAGATTAGGAACACGTGCTACGCCACGGTGGAGAGACACTCCTTTATTTATTTCAACGAAGAGGTTTGGTGGGGAACTTCGAAGAGCATTTCTCCTCCTTTCCTGCTACATGACATTTCCAGATAAATAATTTTTTAAAATATTATTATTCATGGTGCTTGTGAGGAAACTCCCCCAAAGATGGAAAACTGGGAAAGGAGAACGTGAGGAGGCAAATGGTTTTATTTTGGGTCTTCATCATCTGCATCTTTGAGGGGTTCAAAATAAGGTCTCCCAATTTAGGGAGGCAACATTATTAATAAGGTATGAGAGCCAGAGAGCGGAGTAGATTCTTTCCTTGTCTCTCTGCTTCTGCTAGCTGACTGGGTTATCCTTTGGTTTCTTGGGATGAAATGGGCCTCTGTCCATTTTCCCCCTCTTGTGTAGAGCTTAAGGCAAATATATTGAGTCTGGGAACATCACACAAACTGGGCTTTTTTGATCAATGCAGTCTGCATCTTCCCAGCAGAGGCCTGGAGTATTGCATTCGTTGAGAACTTCAACACATTCTTCCAGTACTGGCCCAGGGATCAGGCTTAATTCATTCCAGTAACTGAAAAGAAGAGGCAACGTTCATCAATGCAGATTGCAATCCTACTTTGGTTATGTTCTGTAAAGGTAAAGGGACCCCTGACCATTAGGTCCAGTCGTGACCGACTCTGGGGTTGCGCGCTCATCTCGCTCTATAGGCTGAGGGAGCCGGCGTTTGCCCGCAGACAGCTTCCGGGTCATGTGCCCAGCATGACTAACCCACTTCTGGCGAACCAGAGCAGCGCACGGAAACACCGTTTACCTTCCTGCCGGAGCGGTACCTATTTATCTACTTGCACTTTGACATGCTTTCGAACTGCTAGGTTGGCAGGAGCAGGGACCGAGCAACGGGAACTCACCCTGTCACGGGGATTCGAACCGCCAACCTTCTGATCGGCAAGTCCTAGGCTCTGTGGTTTAACCCACAGCGCCACCCGCGTCGCCATAACAAAATTGCTCAGCAATTTGCTCTGTCCCGCCTCTGTGTCCAGCTACTTTCAAACTGCCACACCTGTGTCCAGTTCTGGGCGCCACAACTTAAGGAGGCTATTGACATGTGCAGAGGAGGGTGACCAAAATGACCAAGTATCCGGAAACTAAGCCCTATGAAGAACAGTTGAAGGAGCTAGGTACGTTTAGCCTGGAAAAGAGGAGACTGAGGGGAGATTGTTGGGATACTGCCAGGGAGACAAAGTCCATCATGGCCCCACGTCGCCTCTGGACGTCCATCGATCTCCCGTAGACACGCAGTATCAGCAATTAGCGACACGAGCTCCAGAAATAGCTTGCCACATTCCAGAGCTGATGCACGCTCTTATCAGCAGATAATGCACAGCGAAAGATGCACGCAGGAGAGCATTATTTGAGTTTATTCAGTGTTGGTCAGAACAAAGAAAAAACATGACCGCCTGCTTCAGTGTTCAGGCACCGAGAGAGAGAAACGAAAGCAACAGAAAACATAAACTTCCTGTGAACAGGAAATACGCAGACTCTGTGACTCACAAAGCCTGCTCCCTTTTAAGGTGGAACGGAAATATCCTAACAGAGATAGGATAACCATACTCCAATTGGGGCTGTCTTAAGCATATCCAGTGCCACGGTGCAAAGATCCCTCTGGCGCCCCCCCTTTCCCAGAGTTGTCAACCTTTTTCTAGGGCTGGAGGAGGTGGGCAGCGGCTGGGGGGCGGCTCCTCTGGTGGGGGAAGAGGTGGAGGCTGGATGCGGCTCAGTTAGCCGCTTTGTGCTGCGGTGTCGCTCACTCAACGCACTCATTCAGTGTTCCCTGGACTCTCGCCTGGCACCCTCCAGAACTTGGTGCCCCAGCGCCACTAGCCTCTATGGGCAAGACGGGCCTGCCTCCAATATCTCAAGGGCTGTCACATGGAAGAGGGAGAAGCTTGTTTTCTCCTGCTCTGGAGGGCAGGACTCGAACCAGTGACTTCCAAGTTACAAGAAAGGAGATTCCGACTAAACATCAGGAAAAACTAAGATATGAATAGGGTATGAGCCTGTGACCTGGAACTAAGTATTTATCATTACAAAAGACTGGCCAGGCTCCCCAGGCAATCCAATCAAGTGACCATTAAACAGGTAACCTGGAAGACAGGAGGTAAACAATGCACTCAGATTTCTGCTGTAGACCGCCCTTTCTGTGATGTATGTATGATGTTTCTGGGGGTGGTCTTGGACTCCAGGGAGGGAATTTAAAATGTCTATATAAGGCCTTGTGCGCCATTGTTCTGGGTTCCTCCTCCCTCCTGCGTGTGGTGAGTGAGGACCCTGTTGCAACAGATCAATAAAGATCAGGCTTACTAGCTGCTTTGCTTCTCAATATTCTCTGGTTGGCCCCTGTTATTTTCTCCTACCAATAGGGAACCTACGTAAGGACTCTATATGGGCTCTTGGGTACCCCATAAGGGGGAAAAGGGCAGATTTTTGTTTACAAAACTCCCAAGCACCTTGCGTAGTAGGCCTATCCAAACAGGAATGCCTAGAATGGCTGGTGAATTGTGCTGCGAAATTCGGGCAAGACCAAAATTCAAAGCACGATTGTGTTTCGGTCTGTGCATTGACTGGAAGAAGCGTTTGGATTTGATATCCCGCTTTATCACTCCCCTTCAGGAGTCTCAAAGCGGCTAACATTCTCCTTTCCCTTCCTCCCCCACAACAAACACTCTGTGAGGTGAGTGGGGCTGAGAGACTTCAGAGAAGTGTGACTGGCCCAAGGTCACCCAGCAGCTGCATGTGGAGGAGCGGGGAAGCGAACCTGGTTCACCAGTTCCCGAGACTACCGCTCTTAACCACTACACCACACTGGAGATGTGAACAAGGTAGCTTCTCGTCAGAATGCCAAGAGAACCTCGTTTTCCGAGTCTGCCCTATTCCCGCTTCTTGTGAAGTTGAAGTCGGGGAAAGGCAACCTTCCGTAAGCTGCTTTTAGGATGGGAAGGAGAAAACACCCGAGAGTTTCTTTATGGTATAGAGGTTTCTCCAGACACTTGCCTGCTATTTGCATTGTACGGTGTCCCATCAAGCCATCTCCATGACAAGCCGTCCTTTTTTAGCCCAATCCACACTCCCTTACTCGACTCCTTGGCAATTGACTCAATGAAAAGCTGCAAGAGAGCCAAACAGAAGGCCTGACTGGGACGAAGGACCCTTTTGGGAGGACTGTTCACTGATTTTCCGGCAGAAAGCTCACATAGGAGTGAGGTAGATGTGCTATACAGTGGTACCTCTGGCTGCGAACGTTCTGGAGGCCCGTTTGCAACATGAAAAGAGCACAACCCACAGCAGCACGTCTGCACATGTGCGGGGTGCGGGTCGTCGCTTCTGCACATGCGCGCAGCGTCATTTTGAGCATCTGTGCATGTGCAAGCGGCGAAACCCGGAAGTAACCCTTTCCGGTACTTCCGGGTTGCCGCGGGGCGTAACCTGAAAGAACATAACATGAAGCGGTCTGTACTGAGTCAGACCCTACACTGGCAGGCAGCCATGCCTCTCCAGGGTTTCAGGAAGAATGAACCAGGCATCTTCTGTTTGCAAGGTACATTCTCTACCAATTGATCTACACCCCTTGCCACGCAAGGTCAGATGAAACCCTGGCTTCATTGACCATGCGTTCAGATTTGTCCAGTGGCATAGCGTGCTGGTGGTGGGGGAACGGGACGACAAAATTATTAGGGATGCAAAATATCAACGCCCGGTGCTGCCGCAATGCAGCTGCGCTCTTCCGTCGCTGGACTCTGTTGAAAACAGCTTCTCCATGAGACCAGGAAGTGAACCTCGCCAGACCAATGGAATGATTCTTCTTTTCTTATCTCTGCGTCTGCAATCTCTTGGGTGATGCGGGCGTCATTAGGCAGCCGATTACACACACACATACTCTGTCCATTTCCCTCCATAGCCCCGGGCTCTGGCAACCCACGCTACACCACTGGAATTGTCTGTAGGATAGCAAGTCCGTTCCCACCCAAATCTGCAAACTAGCCAGAAACTGACCAGCACTTAGCTGTGATGGTTGCGGGTCTATTTTAGCCTGCTGTGGCCTTGAAACACTTCTGCAAACCAATGGACTTCCTTCATTGAATGGCACTAACAGGGCTCTGCATTTTTTCTTAAAAGCTGAAAGCTGGATAAAGCAGTAGAGGAAGGCAGTCAAGTATTTCCTGCTTCTCGAGACAGCATTCAATTCCATCTCCAGCTAAATTTGGCTCGTGACTGCTGCACAGATGCTCAAAGTGGTTCTGAGTGCAAGCGGGAAGATTCTCAAGGGACCATGTGATCCCAAAGAGAAGATTCAGATGTTCTCCCACCCCAAAGGTGCATAGCTGTCAACCGCCCCTTATTTGGTGGGAAAGTCCCTTATCCCAGCGCCGTGTCCCGCTGCTGTCCCTTATTGATGATGTCCCTTCAATTTCCCAGGTTTCAAAGGAAGCAGCTCCTCTCCCTCCCTCCCTGCAGGCCAGGGAGGAGGGAGGCTCCAACTGTGTGGCTTGGCTGCGTTGCTCACCCAATAAGGAGTCTGAGAACGACTGGGGGGTGGAGCTTGCATGCCTTGTGCCAATCAAATCGGCCGCGTTGCCCGGGGACTCGCCTTTGCTCAGCACTTCCCAGCAGAGAGGTGACGGTGGTTTTCCTTGCTGCATCCCCTTTGCCGGGTTGCTGCGCTGTGGGAACCACCGCTTGAGGCTTCGTTTGGCTGCTGGCTGGGCTTTCTGCCTTTGGCTCAGAGGGGCTCAGAAGTTGAACATACCTGTGCCCAGAAAATCCCTTATTTTGGCTGCTAATCCCTTATTTTTGAGGCTGCTGGTCCCTTATTTTCAAATCTGTAAGTTGACAGCTATGCAAAGGTGCCAACTCTACAGGGCCCTGGTCTCTTTGTGCACCCAATAAAATATTTACTTTCCCCACGCCTATTTTCTCCTCCCCTCCATTCTGTCCTCCTTCCCTCGGGCAATCCCCCACCAAGCCGGGTACCGCTCTACTTTCCTGGGTTGCCTCCTGGCTTTTGGCACCATTTCTGAGTGTCTCTGAGCTGGAGCAGCCGGGGAGAGGCAGGCAGGCACCCAGGAGCAATGGCTGACCACTAGGAGTGGGCGAACGGGCAGTGGGTGAGCAGGCAGAAACTTCTTGCATGTGGGTGAGGGGCAAGAGTCGGGCAGAGGAGACAGGGAGGCCTGCACACAGTTGTGCATGGCAGAGGAAGTGTGGAGAGGCGGGTGGGGGGTGGGATTTGAGGTTTGCCTTTAAATCTCCCTCTGATAAGTATGTAGGCAAGACTTCACCATGAGTCTTTACAAAGACACGGCTGCTCCTTTTGAGACATTTCCCTGGCAAACTAACTTGCCGATTCGTAAACCCAAGAAAAAAGCACACCAAGAACTCTGGCTAATACCAGTTTCAGCAGTGGGAGTGGTCCCTACTCGCAAATCAATAATCAATTGTAACAAAAACTAATCCATTCAAAAGTATGTATTCTGACAAGGATTACAAACTCAAATAGAGATGTGAAGGTCTTAGTTTCAATCACTGAGCAGAAGTCAGAAGTCTGCCCAGTGATTGAAACTAAGATCTTCACATCAAATCTGACTATGGACTAACACGAACTTATCTTTACTCATAAATTCTTATCTCTAATTCTGTAACGAATTATTGTGCTATACATATCCTTATGAGTTTCAGTTTGTAATCTCTGTTTGGGTTTATAATCTCTATTTGAGTTTGTAATCCTTGTCAGAATACTTTTGAATGGATTAGTGTTTGTTACAATTTATTATGGATTTGCAAGTAGGGACCACTCCCACTGATGAAACTTATATTGGCCAGAGTTCTTGGTGTGCTTTTTTCCTGGTATAGGTAAAGGTAAAGGGACCCCTGACCATTAGGTCCAGTCGTGGCCGACTCTGGGGTTGCGGCGTTCATCTCGCTTTACTGGCTGAGGGAGCCAGCGTACAGCTTCCAAGTCATGCGGCCAGCATGACTAAGCCGCTTCTGGTGAACCAGAGCAGCGCACGGAAACGCCGTTTACCTTCCCGCCCTATTTATCTACTTGCACTTTGATGTGCTTATGAACTGCTAGGTTGGCAGGAGCTGGGACCGAACAACGGGAGCTCATCCCGTTGCGGGGATTTGAACCACCGACCTTCTGATCGGCAAGTCCTAGGCTCTGTGGTTTAACCCACAGCGCCACCCGCATCCCTTTCCTGGTATATTTAATAACAAAAGCTCCCAACTTATTTAATGATTCGTAAACCCAAACTGCTTTCTGATTATTTCCGCAAGGTGTAGAGCAGGGGTCTCCAAACTTAGGCCCACGGGCCGGATAAAACCCAAGGGACTCGTTTATCCGACCCCCACTGCCACTGCCCGCTCTTGCCGGCACTGCGCTGCGCGGCTGCCCACTTCTGGGTCGGAGGAGCACCGGAAATAGCTTGTGTGCATGCGCAAACATTATTTCCGGTGCACATCCGGGTCGGAGGGGCCCGTGCACATGCGCACGAGCTATTTTCGGTGCTTCTCTGACCCGGAAGTGCGCCGGAAATAGCGTGTGCGCACGATTATGGACACATGCTCCCCTGCCCTCTGGCTTGCCGCAAGATCGGCGCTGGAGACACCGGCCCGAGGCGCGGTAGGTTTGCTGACCCCTGGTGTACAGCATTTCTGCAAAAGAGCTTCACAGGGGCGTATTGACTTGGTTTCCTTCCACCTGTGATCCTGTCATGCGTGATTTAGTTGAGATTCCTGCATTGCAGGGGGTTGGAACTAGACAGACTTTGGGACCCCTCCCGGCTATAACAAATTTCCATTTGCAGAAAAAAAAATGGTAGACATTTGTCCTGATCCAGCGGTCCACAGTGGTCTTTCCTGGGGAGAGCGAACATGTGGATCGCGGTCCTCAAACTTACCTCCTCTTCCTTTGTGACAATGGTGGGCAGTATTGTCTTTAGTTTCTCACATTCACTCTGAGCGAAATCAAAGCCCATTGGGTGCGAGATGAGGTAAAAGAGGCGGCCTTTGAAGGGCTGCCACCCGCCGTTAATCAGTTTAATTATGTTGTCTTGCGAGGCGAACCAGAAGCATGCAGGAGAGAGAGAGAGAGATGTGTTAGAAACCAGCCGGTCCATCTGTATAATAATAATAATAATAATAATAATAATAATAATAATAATAATTTATTTATTTATACCCTGCCCATCTGGCTGGGCTTCCCCAGCTACGCTGGGCGGCTTCCAACAAACACTAAAATACAGTAACCTATTAAAGATTAAAAGCCTTCGGATGTCTTCTAAAAGTTTGGTAGTTATTTATCTCTTTGACATCTGGTGGGAGGGCATTCCACAGGGCGGGTGCCACTACTGAGAAGGCCCTCTGCCTGGTTCCCTGTAACTTCGCTTCTCGCAGAGAGGGAACCACCAGAAGGCCCTTGGCGCTGGACCTCAGTGCCCGGGCAGAATGATGGGGGTGGAGACGCTCCTTCAAGGATACTGGGCTGAGGCCGTTTAGGGCTTTAAAGGTCAGCACCAACACTTTGAATTGTGCTCGGAAACGTACTGGGAGCCAGTGTAGGTCTTTCAAGACCGGTGTTATGTGGTCTCGGCGGTCGCTCCCAGTCACCAGTCTAGCTGCCGCATTCTGGATTAGGGTCAGGGTCTTTGAATGAATGATGCCAATCCTCGTGTTTGTGCCAGTGTGTGTGCCAGTGCTTATGTTACTGTGACAGCAGAATAGTACCGGAAAATCATCAAAAGTTCCTTTGCGGGAGCCGATGTGGTGTAATGGTTGGAGTGTTGGGCTAAGGCCTGAGATGAGAGAGCTGGGTTTGAATCCCCACACAAATATGAAGCTCACGGGGCGACCTTGGAGTCAGTGGCCGCCTTTCTTGGCCTGGCCTATTTTGCAGGGTTGTTGTGAAGATGAAATGGGGAGGGGTGGACCAAGTACACCCCCTTGAGATAAAGGTGGTGTGTCAATCCAATGTACAAAGAAATAAAAGGAAATGCTAATGTATGGAATGTTTAAGTTACAGGTTTAATGCACCTCAAAGGTAATCTTTGTGTTAGAATTCTCAGGTCCCAAATATAAAATAAGCATTCATAAATGTACGAGGCAAACGCAGACCTAAGTATATAAACCATCTGGTACGCAGGCTGAGACCCTACCTGCCAGCGGACTGTCTCACCAGAGTGGTGCATGCTCTGGTTATCTCCACTTGGACTACTGCAATGCTCTCTATGTGGGGCTACCTTTGAAGGTGACCCGGAAACTACAATTAATCCAGAATGCGGCAGCTAGACTGGCGACTGGGAGCGACCGCCGAGACCACATAACACCGGTCCTGAGAGATCTGCATTGGCTCCTAGTACGTTTCCGAGCACAATTCAAAGTGTTGGAGCTGACCTTGAAAGCCCTAAACGGCCTCGGTCCAGTAGACCTGAAGAGCGTCTCCACCTCCATCCATTCTGCCCGGACACTGAGGTCCAGCTCTGAGGGCCTTCTGGCGGTTCCCTCACTGCGAGAAGCCAAGTTACAGGGAACTAGGCAGAGGGCCTTCTCAATGGTGGCGCCCACCCTGTGGAACGCCCTCCCACCAGATGTCAAAGAGAAAAATAACTACCAGACTTTTAGAAGGCGTCTGAAGGCAGCCCTCTTTAGGGAAGCTTTTAATGTTTAATAGACTACTGTATTTTAATATTTGGTTGGAAGCCGCCCAGAGTGGCTGGGGAAGCCCAGCCAGATGGGCGGGGTACAAATAATAAATTATTATTATTATATTTATTCTTATTCTTATAGTACAGGAGAACAATCCTGAAGCTATTTTGACTCTCCCAGTGACCTCAAATATTTCTCTGCAAGGAGGAAGGAAATGGGAAAGCCTCTCCATTGTCTTTTGCTTACTTGACTTAAGGGCGTATTTGTGGATGAATAGGGTGAGTATGTGAGCTGGACTCAGGAATTAAAGTATTAACCATCACACAAAAGAATGGCCGGGCAGTCAGTGACCATTATCAGGTATTCTGGCAGAAAGGATTTCTGCTGTAGACCACCTCCTTTTGTGATATATGCATGATGTTTTGGGGGGTGGTCTTGAGCTACAGGGTGGGCAATTTCAAAAGTTTATATAAGGGCTTACGCACCATTGCTCAGGGTTCTCCTCCCCCCTGCGTGTGGTGAGTGGGGACCCTGTTGCAACAATTAACGAAGATCAGGCTATACATATACTATATAAACAACAACTATACATGCATACTATGGGATTTCCTGCCTGATTATATTGCGATTTTGCCACCTGAAGCAGCATTCATATACCGTTTCTTTAATACAGCGGTACCTTGATTCTCAAACTTAATCCATTCCGGATGTCTGTTTCAAAAGCAAAGCGTTCAAAAATCAAGGTGCGCTTTCCCACAGAAAGTAATGCAAAATGGATTAATCCGTTCCAGACTTTGGAAAACAACAGCGATTTAACATGAATTTTACTATCTAACGAGACCACTGATCCATAAAATGAAAGCAACAAACAATGTACTGCAGTCTATCAGTAGCTGAACTGGGTTCTACAAAATGGAAGCGTAACACTCAAAACGGAGAATGTTCGGCTTCCAAAAGAAGTTTGCAAACCGGAACACTTACTTCAGGGTTTGCAGTGTTTGGGTTCCAAGTTGTTTGAGTACCAAGGCATTTGAGAACCAAGGCGCCACTGTATCATGTAAAAAAACAACACCCCCTGAATCTTTCTTCATTCCTCCTGTTAAGTTGTGGGTGAACATATCACACAACACAGTGATTCTTCAAACAGCTCTTGTTTATTCAGAGGCCAGAACAGAACTGAACTGAAGAGTTCAACCAGCCTGCTTATATAGAGCTCCAGTACAACGTATCTGTAACAATTTTCTAAAACTATCCAATCACTGAACGTCACTTTTGATCCCTTATTTGCATAACTATCTACAGTATCCCCCTGCTAGCCCAGGGTAAGAACTTCAGTACATAACACCTCCTGTGTGAGAACTGTGTGGGTGTAAGGTTAAGAGTGAACACGTATTTGTAACAAATGTGCGTTATAACTCCAGCCATTGGTCCTAAACCAAATACAGGTCATTGCTGGGTTGGCCTTCAGCAAGGGCAGCCAGAATTGAGGAAGGGAATAAATTCTCCAGTTCTGGAAATGATGTTGGGAAACTGTGTATGTGCAGCTACTCACACAGAGGCAAGTAAGGTTTGGCAGACAGCCAGAAGGTCATGTGAAGGAGTACGTCTGCCTGGTGATAACAGAGACATGGAGACAACTCCCTGATTGGTCACGCTCTCTCAAGGGAGTGATAATTAATGGCCTACTAACTGGAATGTGTTAGTTCGTGAGTTCAGAGGTTCAGAGTTCTGTGTGTCAGTGTAGGAGTTGTGAGTCGTGTCAGAGAGAGCTAGCTAAAGATCCGTGTTCTGTTCCTGTAAACAGTCCACTGTATATAATAAACACCCAACTACAAGTTCCTGGTTCCTGCTTCGTCTATCCTGTCTGCAGCCAAGTTGCCAATTGCTTCCGTGGATTCTGCGTTTACCCTGCTAGGTCTGGCTAAGGTCCTGCAACTAGTCAGAAAGTTGCGAAACACCAAGAGGTTTTTACCAATAAATGAGGGGTGGGGGGGAGAAAAGGCTTCCAGCTTGTGTCTCCCCCCCTCCCCGATTCTTCTGCAGACAAACTTACCAATTGCGACATTCACTGCAGTAGTCCTTGTCTTGATGTCGCGTAGAAACCCCGCTAAATTCTCTGCCAACCCTAGGATTTCCGTATCTAGAACAATTTGCAAAAGTGCAAGTCAGGGAGGTCTCGGGCAGTCGAGCATAAATATATAGAAAGGTTCCTGGGAGTGTGAAGTGTGTCTGTCTGCCAATTGCGTTGGGTACAAGCGACGTGGCCTGCCTCCAGTCCAGAGAATAATAAACCCGAAAAATCCCCCTGTGTTGCAAAACAGAACAATCCGAACAACATCAAGCAACACATAGGCTAATAATATATTGACAATATTTCTATAACCCTATCCAAACTGTTTCAAAATTCATAAGCAGAAGACATGTAAGGGACATGCAGGGAGTCACAAACTAATAAGAGTCAAGTAACTATTCCATAAAGGGACGCGGGTGGCACTGTGGGTTAAACCACAGAGCCTGGAACTTGCTGATCAGAAGGTTGGCAGTTCGAATCCCCGCGATGGGGTGAGCTCCCGTTGCTCGGTCCCAGCTCCTGCCAACCTAGCAGTTCGAAAGCACGTCAAAGTGCAAGTAGATAAATAGGTACTGCTCTGGTGGGAAGGTAAATGGCATTTCCGTGCGCTGCTCTGGTTCGTCAGAAGCAGCTTAGTCATGCTGGCCACATGACCCAGTGTGACGTTACCATATATGAGAGAGTGCTGGAGGGGAAATAGTTAAATAGGTTGTACAGACAGGACCCAGGGGGGTGGAGTCAGTGGGTCTATAAAACTGGTTCTGGGAGGAGTTGTGGAAGTTAGTTCGTTGGGAGTTGTGGGTGGGTAGTTGGTTGGTTTGAGTGGGTTGGCTGGTTGGGAAAGGCAGTTGGTAATAGAGAGACAGTTAGGGCAGTTGGTCCTTGAGTGTGGGGAGGTAGCAGAGAGAGAGAGAGGAACATAAGACTAAGAAAGTAAAGAGGAACACTGTTTGGAATGCTGTAATAGTTTTGTTTTAAGTCTGAAAAAAAAATACACTCTTCTTTATTAATTGAAAAGCTGACTGAGACTGAAGTGAGTTTACCAGGGAGGACCTGGTTGGTGGCAGCGGATTAGTGGTGTACGGGTCAATAGTCCGTGAGACGACCGGGGGCTCCGTACGAACGCCACAAAATTGGCGGCAGTGGCGGGATTTGATAAGTCTAAGAGCCTGTGAGGGGAAGCAGTACACCTGGAGAGGGGCAGGGTAAATCGGTGAAGAGATTACCTGGCCCGAGGGTGTGATTGAGGATAAACCCCAGATTGCCGTGTGGCCGAGATAACAATAAGAGCAAGAGATCTCAAAAGACTGATCTGGTGGAGGCTTAGGCTCAGGGTCAGAGGAAGTAAGCTTGAAAGGTTAGAGGGGGAAAAACCTAAAGCTATACTTTGGGGACCAGGGTCTTGGGATGCCAAGCCGGGAGGAACAGTGCTGAGAGTGAAAGTCTCTTATTTAATTAGTGCAAAATACTGACTCAACCAAGAAGACCAAGCACCCTGTGAGAGAAAACCCACATGAAAGCTCTGGAGAAGAGAATGGGAATCCCCAGGGGGAGGAAACCAGAATAGAAGAGATGACTAAAACCCCACCTGAAGTAGAAGTTCCACAGTTTTCAGAGGATCTTGAAAAGTGGAAATTAGTTCAAGAATATAACCTGAAATTAGAGCTTGAGAAAAATAGAACTGAATTGGAAAAAGAAAAATTGAGGGCTGAGCAAGAATTGGAAAAAGAAAAATTGAGGGCTGAGCAGGAAACGGAACAGCAGCGGTTTCAGTTAGAGATGAGACGGTTGGAATGAACGGTTTTAGAAAATCGTAATAATAGTAATAACACTGATGGGCAGAATCAAATGAAGATAGATTTAAAACGCTTTCCTGAATTTAGAGATAGGGATAGCCCAGAAGCATTTCTAGTATCCTTCGAGAGGGCCTGTCACGATTTTCAAGTAAGAGAGGAAGATAAAATGATGATCTTGAGAGCTAGGATAAGCGGTCCTCTAGCTGAATTATACGCTCAGATGACTGAGGAACAATCCCGAAATTTTGAGGTGTACAAGCAGTTAGTATATACACGCTTTGGGATTACCTCAGAGCAGTTGAGGAAAAAATTTAGAAGTGTGACAAAGGTGAGGGAGGAAACCTATGCGCAGATGGGCGCAAAGATAAAAACTTACCTCACAAGATGGTTAGAGCAAGAGAATGCAGACACGGTACCTAAGATTAGAGAAGTGATGGCGTTGGAGCAATTTTACGACACAATAAATGGCCAATTGAAGTACCTGATAAAAGAAAGGAACCCCAAGACAATAGAGGAAGCAGCGGGTTTAGTCGATAAAATAAATGAAATCAGAGACCATGGATTTGATGGGCCAAAATTTGGTGGAAGATATTGGGAAACAAACAAAAATAAATTTCAGCAAACCAAAGGAACATAGGCGCCGACTCCATGGGGCTTGAGGGGGCCCGAGCCCCCTCAAAAATTCGTTTGGGGGGGCTCTGCCCCCCAATAATCTCCGGCGCCCCTCCAGCAGAGCGCCATCGCCGCCCCTCCCCCAGCCCAAAATGCACAGGGAGGGGCGGGCTGCATGCCTCCTGCCCTCCCTCCCGAGCAAAAGCTCCACCCAATTTCCTTTGGAGCTGATTAATAGGCGCAGCACGCTCTCCCCTATTCGCTCACGAGGAGGCGGCGCCACTTTATTTGCATATTCATGAGCTTATTTATTATTCATGAGCTTTCCCGGGCCCCCCAATATTTTTTATAAGTCCGCGTCCCTGCAAAGGAAAGATTACCTCAGAAACCGATAAGAGAAGCAGCCCCTCATCAGAAAGCCCACATGAGAAGGCACACACCCATATAGAGTTTGCTGAGGGGAAAGTCAATAAAACAAGTTATGCAGGACCCAAATACATTTCATGCTGGAGATGTGGGAAATTAGGGCATAAAAGTTTTGATTGTAAGCCAGGAAAAGAAACATCTAGTTATAGCACCACACAGAAACAGACATATTGTATGCAGCCTGTGGAGCAGGGCCCAACTAGTCAGGTTGTCAAGGAAACGGACAGGCCAACTAGGCCCGAGCCTGCTGAGGTAGCAGAGGCCGAAGTCGTGCACTGTTATGCGATTCAACAAGATAATCTCTTATTAAAGAACGCTGGAGAGTATATCTGGATAGACGGAAAAAGATATCTCGGGTTAAAGGACACGGGATCGCAAGTCACCATAGTCCACCCGGAAATAATCAGGGATGAGGCCATAATTCCAGGGAAAGTAATGAAATTAAAAGGAATTTCGAAACAAGTAGAGATCCTAAAGGTGGCGGAAATAGATGTCAGGTTCAAAAAGTGGGCAGGGAAGTGGCAGGTAGCCCTTTCGGAAGAAATTCGCGGCGCTGTGCTCATTGGTTGGGACATTTTAGAACATGTGCAGAGTACTTTCATAGTTACCAGAGCAAAAGGGAGCCCACAGTCACTTAATCCTGAGGGGGTGGATACAGTAGCAGAGGCAGACAATGCTGAAGGACAGCAAGGGGGTGATCAGTGTGAGGAAAGAAAAGACACCTTTTTGTTTCCTTTGACTAAAAGTCAAACCCCAAGTTTTGCCAAAAAGCAAAAAGAAGATACTGAGTTACAAAGGTACTTTGAGGCAGCCGAGTCGGAGAGGCCGTTAACTCCTGAGTGCCCAGAACAGTTTTGTTTGAACAAGGGCCTTTTATATCGAGAAGTCCTTGACCCACCATGCGGGGGGGGGGGGGTGAAGAAGTGAGAAGACAGCAGTCCCACATGAATGCCGAGGCAAAATCCTGCAGCACGCTCACAACAGTGTATTTGGAGCGCATATGGGTATTACACATACAAAACGGAGAGTGGCTCAAAATTTTTATTGACCAGGAATGGGGAAACAAATAAAACAATACTGTCAAGCCTGTGACATATGTCAGAGACGAGGCACCGGGCAAGACAAAACAAAAGCCAAGTTGTGCCCCTTGCCTGTCATATTAACCCCTTTTCAACGGTTAGGGCTGGACCGGATAGGGCCCTTGCCTAGAGCCAGCAGCCGGGGAAACAGATACATCCTCACCGTAGTGGATTACGCAACCATTAATGAGATGAAGCGGAAGGCTTGGGAGGAAATAGCAGAATGTGTTAATGCTGGTGGTGAAGGAGAGCAAAGGACGGGAACAGAAGTCAGAAGGCGATACCTCGATTGGAGGGCCCTTAAGAAACGGAAGCGACTTAAGACCAACATAAAGCTTGGGGGTGCTGGCTTTCACCTTCCATCATCTGATCTGGATGATTCTCTCAACAAAGATATTGATGAGAAAATTGGGTTTCCAACTGAAGCTGGTTTTGAATGGCAGAATATTACAGACTTCAGAGAAGCAGGTGGATCATTAACAGAAATAAAAGTGGAAGAAGAGGAGGAGGATCCACAGAGTTTTGAATTTCCTATTGAGGAAGAAGAGGAGATTCTGTCCTCAGTGTTGCCAGATTCTAAAAAGGAAAGTGACCTTCCTGACTTCACTCACATCGAAGAGTTTGGCAATCTAAGCTCTGCTCAAGCTAGGCTGGCCTATGAAGATTCTCATCTGATGATTAGCCTTGAAAAACAGAAGCTGGAGTTAGAGAAACAGCGGCTGGATATCGAAGCAGAACGCCTGCAAGTGGAGAAGGAGCGCCTGCAGATCGAAAAAGAGCGGTTATGACACATTGACCTAGAGCATGAGAGGCTTCAACTGGAAAAGGAGAGATTACAAATAGAGCGAGAGAAACTGAGGCTTGAGGCTTTGCATGCTGAGAAACCTGTGCTGGAAAATGACCCCAGCCAGTCAGAAAAACCTGCCTTGCAACCTCTGGATCTAGAAACTGAAAAACTAAAAATGGAAAGGAGCCTTGATGTCAGAACCCGTTCTTGCAGCGCCAGACTACAATCAACAATTTACTTGTTTATGTATGTGTGTGTGTGTGTGTGTGTGTGTGTGTGTGTGTGTATATATATATGCAGGTTTTGGTGTCCTCGGGTGTCTTCCCGTGTAAAAGTTGGGGTGTCTAGGCGACGTTTCGACGAGGTCTCACTCGTCATCTTCAGGCTGGTGCTTTCGGCTTCTTGTTACTGGAACAGAGCTCTGTTGGCTCTGTTCCAGTAACAAGAAGCCGAAAGCACCAGCCTGAAGATGACGAGTGAGACCTCGTCGAAACGTCGCCTAGACACCCCAACTTTTACACGGGAAGACACCCGAGGACACCAAAACCTGCATTCCTGTACCCGTGAAAATCTACGAAAGCAAATATATATATATATATATATAGACACACACACACACACACACACACACATATACATATACATACATATATATACATATATATATATATATATATATATATATATATATATATATAAAAACAAAACCACATACAAAACTGATCAACCCTCCTGAATCGAAACTTCTTAAGGGGGGAGGTAAAAAAGGTAAAGGTAAAGGTACCCCTGCCCATATGGGCCAGTCTTGACAGACTCTGGGGTTGTGCGCCCATCTCACTCAAGAGGCCGGGGGCCAGCGCTGTCCGGAGACACTTCCGGGTCACGTGGCCAGCGTGACAAAGCTGCATCTGGCGAGCCAGCGCAGCACACGGAAACGCCGTTCACTTCATCAATTCTGGCCCTCTTTGAAAAACGTTTGGGTACCCCTGGTGTAGACAGAACCCTAGTAGCATGATAAAGGCTACCCACAGGTGCAAAGAATCACATGAAATTCGGCCCTGTGTGCCTTCCAACGACATGATCCTATGTCAAGTGGGCACATCCCCCTCTGTCCCCTCCCCACTTCAACCCATGTACTGAGCCACCAGGGGCGTCTCGCCCATAGAGGCAAGTGGTGCGGGGTGCCAGGGTGCCAAATTCTGAAGGGCGCCAGGGAAGAGGCAGAGGCTGGGCGCGGCGCCTCCTGGCATCAGCTAGCTGCCCTCGCCCGCCTCGCTGAAGCAGCGCCGCGCCCAGAGCGTCCACCTTTTCCCCCACCAGAGGAGCTGCCCTCCAGCCGCTGCCCGCCTCCTCCAGCCCTGCAAAGCTGCCGGCAGCACCGTAAAAAGTGTTGGGATGTTCCATTCCACCGTAAGGAACAGACATGGGACTGTTGCATGTCACATGTCTGTAACACATACCAGCATTGCATGCTGGGAACGTCCATTTGTGTATAGCTTTCTGTTTTGCTTTGGACACGAAGGAGATCAGACATGTTTCCTTTTGTCCTGATCGACGCTGAACAAAACCTGCTTGTAAAAACAGCCTCTCGTGCCATTTCTGTTTGCGCAGCTGAATAGCGTGCTCAGTCTTCTAAAGCCTGGGTCGCTGCACGCAACAGTCCCATGTCTGTTCCTTACGGTGGAATGGAACACCCCAACACTTTTTACGGTGCTGCCGGCAGCTTTGCAGGGCTGGAGGAGGCGGGCAGCGGCTGGAGGGCAGCTCCTGCGGCGGGCAAGGGCGGCAAGCTGATGCCAGGAGACACCGTGTCCAGCCTCCACCTCTTCCCTGCTCCGTATAGTTAAAGCTCTGGTTTTCCCAGTAGTGATGTATGGAAGTGAGAGCTGGACCATCAAGAAGGCTGATCGCTGAAGAATGGATGCTTTTGAATTCTGGTGCTGGAAGAGACTCTTGAGAGTCCCATGGACTGCAAGAAGATCAAACCTCTCCATTCTGAAGGAAATCAGCCCTGAGTGCTCACTGGAAGGACTGATCCTGAAGCTGAGACTCCAAGACTTTGGCCACCTCCTGAGAAGAGAAGACTCCCTGGAAAAGACCCTGATGTTGGGAAAGATGGAGGGCACAAGGAGAAGGGGACGACAGAGGACGAGATGGTTGGACAGTGTTCTCAAAGCTACCAGCATGAGTTTGACCAAACTGCGGGAGGCAGTGGAAGACAGGAGGGCCTGGCGTGCTCTGGTCCAGGGGGTCACGAAGAGTCGGACATGACTAAACGACTAAACAACAACAAGGATCGGAGGTCGCCTGGCACACCGGGCCGGTGGGTTGGAGCCAGCTGGGGGGCCTGCCAATTGCCCCTGTTTCCTTGGGTACATGCCAACAAAAAGGTCGGCAACTCTGGGAAACGGGGGGGGGGGGGGGCGCCAGAGGGATCTTTGCACCACGGCGCCGGATATACTTAAGATGGCCCTGTGAGCCACAACACTAGAGGATGGGGCCAGTGGTTGGGGGCTTGGTGAGAGTGGCGGGTGGGCAGGTAGGCGGGACGCAGGCATTCTCACGGCAAGCCATCTCTTACCGTTCAACGCATCGAGGGTTTGATTGTGACTGACGAAAAAGACCCGTATTGTCTTCGCAGCGTCGATGTTGTCCGATAGCCGTATGACCCGTTGCTCATCTGTTGTGGAGGAAGGCAGGAAAGACAGGCTGCTATAACACAGGGGGCATGTCCCAGACAAGACTGGCAAGTTAATTTTCCACAGTTACTGTTATGTACTGAAGTTCTCACCCCGGGCCAGCAGGGGGATACTGTAGATAGTTATGCAAATAAGGGATCGAAAGTGACGTTCAGTGATTGGATAGTTTTAGAAAATTGTTACAGTTGCGTTGTACTGGTGCTCTATATAAGCAGGCTGACTGAACCCTTCAGTTCAGTTCTGTCCTGGCCTGTGAATAAACAAGAGCTGTTTGAAGAATCGCTGTGTCGTCTGATATGTTCACCCACAACTTAACAGTTACGTTTTCACAATTAAAAGCAAGAGTTAGCCCACATTTCTATCAGATCTAGATTTATGCAGATACATTTTCACTAACCTTCTCTTTGAAATTCTTTGACTCTTCCTTCCCTACTCTCTCCTGGTTCCTTATGCAAACAAAGTTCTGCTGCATTTCCATACTTAAAACTTTCCCAATTATTATTTCCCTTAATTTTATCTAATTTCCTGCTAGTTGCAAGTGTTTACTTAAAACCCCGCCAATGTACCAACTTGTTTGCAGTATTTTTGCACATAAACAATAGACGATTCCTACTCTTTTAAAAAAATTTATTGTTGTCATAGTCCAGGGATGTCCAACCGGTCGACCACGATCGACATGTCGACCCTTGGGCTCATTTTCCTCTGTGGGGAAATAAATAACTATAATTTGCACCCGTGCTGCTTCCCTCCACCACAACTCGACATCCTTTACTGCATAATCTTATTTACCTTGTGTCCTTACATTGATCCTTTTATATCTATTAATAACTTTACCTTGAATTAGTTCCTCTTTACACACTTATTCTATACATATCAATGTGTTTTCTTTAGAACAGTGTTTTTTTCATATATTCCTCAAAACATTGCCATTCCTTCCTTAGACTGATTAGACTGATTTCTTATGGCTGCCGTTAGTTTAGCTAATTCTATGCATTCACATAATCTACTGATCCAATCTTCCTTTGTGGGGATAGTATCCCCTTTCCATTTTCTAGCAAGTAATAATCCGGCTGCGGCTGTAGCATATAAGAATAATCTTTTCTTATCCTGTGGGATGTCTTTTCCTAAAATCCCTAATAAATATGCCTGCAGTATCTTTTCTACTGAAATTTTAAACATTAGGTTTTCCTTGATGGCATTACAGGCGGTAAATCTAATATCCAACCTCCAAAGTCTCTCCCACTGTTCCATCTGAATTGTATGGCCGATACGAACTATTTGAAGAGCAATTGTAATCAACAAATTACGCCAGTAGGACTACAAGAAGTTTTGTAAGGAGAAATGTAGGAAGCATTGCAAAGTAGAGAAAGAATAGAGATATTAGTTATGAGTTAAATGTAACTGTGGAAGTAAGAAAGGTTTAGTTAGTGAACAGATTGGAAAATATTCAGATGTGATTGATGGAAGTCAAAAAAAATATGGTATAAGATATGAAAGTATGTTTAATTACTGTTGAAAATGATATGTCGAAAAACTAATAAAAATTTATATAAAAATAAAAAAATAATTGTATAGCTGATGTCCTGGGCCCATTTTATCATAACATCTTTTACTTGTTCGTCTTTCAGATCCCATTCTAGTAGTAAGTCATGAATTTTAGATAATCATTTCTTATTGGTTCTTAATACAACAATTTGCAGTTTAGAGTCTTCTTTTCCGAAACCTAATTTTTTTATCCATATTAAATATATTATTTAACTGGTGATACTGGAGCCAATCGGCGAGGTGACTGCAGTTACAAAAATAAATATGAAAAGTAATTGGGTAACCTAGAATCAATTATTAAAAGAAGAGCAAGGACATTTGAAAATAAAACGATTCTGGCCTTTTTCTTCAAGGTGTGTCACCCGCCTTGCCCTACGTTGGAGTAAAACACACTTATTCTGAACAGAGGTGAACTTACAGTTATGGTACAGCACACTTGAGCCGATTATCATCAACAAACACAGCCAGAATGTATTCGTTGCTCCCTTTTTAATTTTCTGGATAGCTTCCTCTTTTTCTAAAGGGAAGAGAGGGAATGGAAATTAATCCGGCGCCAGCAGTAGCAAATATGCCCCTCTCATCAGTTTGGCAAGGCTATTGGAGACAGTGTGGAGCAGTGGTTACAGTGCTGGGTGAGGACTTGGGTTCGAATCCCTACTTCGCCGTGAACCTCACTGGGTGACCTGGGAAGGGCCGTGGCCTGATCTCAGTCTCACAGGGTTGTTGCACAGATTAAACTCATAGCAGGAGGAGTTCCAGCTCCGAGGTCCTTCTGGCGGTTCCCTCCCTGCGAGAAGTGAGGTTACAGGGAACCAGGCAGAGGGCCTTCTCGGTGGTGGCGCCCGCCCTGTGGAACACCCTTCCACCAGATGTCAAAGAGAAAAACAACTACAGTGGCACCTCAGGCTACATACGCTTCAGGTTACAGACTCCGCTAACCCAGAAATAGTGCTTCAGGTTAAGAACTTTGCTTCAGGATAAGAACAGAAATCATGTGGTGGCGGCACAGCGGCAGCAGGAGGCCCCATTAGCTAAAGTGGTGCTTCAGGTTAAGAACAGTTTCAGGTTAAGAACGGACCTCCAGAACGAATTAAGTACGTAACCAGAGGTACCACTGTGCCTGACTTTTAGAAGACATCTGAAGGCAGCCCTGTTTAGGGAGGTTTTTAAGGTTTGATGTTTTATCGTGTTTTTAATTCTGTTGGGAGCTGCCCAGAGTGGCTAGGGAAACCCAGGCAGATGAGCGGGGTATAAATGATGATGATGATGATGATGATGATGATGGACGACCCCTTGAGCTCTTTGGGGGCATAAATGCAATAAATAAATGAAATATCCCGTGGCAGACCATGTAAATGAGGAAGAGACAGCCAGCTTCCAGGGCCGCATTTAGGTTTGATGAGGCCCTCAGCTGCTGAAGGTAATGGACTCAATGAGATGGGCGGGGTATAAATAATAAATTATTATTATTATATTATTACTGTAGTAGCCTTTGAAAGGCGTGCTTTCTGGATTTTGAGATGTACAGTGGTGCCCCGCAAGACGAATGCCTCGCAAGACAAAAAACTCGCTAGACGAAAGGGTTTTCTGTTTTTTGAGTCGTTCCGCAAGACGAATTTCCCTATGGGCTTGCTTCGCAAGACGAAACGTCTTGCGAGTTCTTGCGAGTTTGTTTCCTTTTTCTTAAAGCCGCTAAGCCGTTAATAGCCGCTAAGCCACTAATAGCCGTGCTTCGCAAGACAAAAAAACCGCAAGATGAAGAGACTCGCAGAACGGATTAATTTCGTCTTGTGAGGCACCACTGTATGTGAGAACGTGCATCTTGTGTAACGTACGAAATAGATTCCATTCAAGGCAACTGCTTGCAAAAATGCAACTCTAAGATTCTTTGATTAGGTGCGCAGGATACAGACCACGTTGATCTTTTTCTTCTTCAGTTAATTCTTTTTCCTCTCCTTCTACTTCCTCTTCTACCTCTTCTCCTCCTTCTGCTTCTCCTTCTCCTTCTCCTTCTCCTTCACCTTTTTCGCCTTTTTTCCCACCTTTTTTTGCTTCTGCCCCTCCTTTCTTTGCTTTCTTATCTGCAAAATAATGTCTGTGTTAGAAGAGGCCAGCAACACACACCAGAATTACAAGCAGTTGAGTAGTTCTGCCTTCTCTCTGTCACCCAATACCATTTCTCCGTTTTCTCCAAGTTGAACACCTACCACTTCCTTGTTCTTCCTCTTTAATCAGACATAGCTGAGGAAACCTTTTATTATTTTCCACCTCTCTTGCAAGCCTGAGCTCATTCTGAGCTTTAGCCAGCCTGACTTGCCCGCTGCAACTGCTGGCTACTTGTGTATACGCCTCCTTTGAGAGTCCTCCTTTCTTCTATTTCTTATACATGGAGCTGACCTTGAAAGCCCTAAATGGCCTCAGCCCAGTATCCCTGAAGGAGCGTCTTCACCCCCATTGTCCATCCCAGACGCTGAGGTCCAGCTCCGAGGGCCTTCTGGCAGTTCCCTCCCTGCGAGAAATGAGGTTACCGCGAACCAGGCAGAGGGCCTTCTCAGTGGTGGCACCCGCCCTGTGCAATGTCCTCCCATCAGATGTCAAGGAAATAAAGAACTTCCTGGCTTTTAGAAGACATCTGAAAGCAGCCATGTATCAGGAAGTTTCCAGCATGAATCCAGAACATTTTTATGCATTGATGCGATGTTAAGCACCACCGCAATGTGGCCCAGCTCCTTATGAGGTTCGCTGGGCTTGAAGCAATGATTCTTCAACATCAACTTAATGTTGTGCGGATGCCTGATTATCGTCTTCCGAAGCAACTACTCTATTCCAAACTTAAAAATGGAAAGCGTAATGCTGGTGGTCAACAGAAGAGATTTAAAAACTGTCTCAAGGCAAATCTTTAAAAAGTGTAGTATAAACACTGACAACTGGGAATCACTGGCCTGCGAGCGCTCCAGTTGGAGAACAGCCTTGACCAAAGGTGTCGTGGGCTTTGAAGACACTCGAACTCAGGACACAAGGGAGAAACGTGTCAATAGGAAGGCACGCTTGGCAAATCCACACCGGGATCAACTCCAGTCCGGAAACCAATGTCCCCACTGTGGAAGGATGTGTGGATCCAAAATTGGCCTCCACAGTCACTTACAGACTCACTTTTAAAACCATGTTTATGGAAGGCAATCTTACTCGGCTACGAGGGATTGCCAAAGAAAGAAGAATTCTGAAAAAGCAGGACATGAAATCCTTGGCAGAGCAGCTGGCTGTCTAGGCCGGGCACCCACAGAGAATACTTTCTCACCCCCTTCCACTGTCTGTTCCTGAACCTGGTATGGGCATGGCAGCATACGTACCTACTGCAGGCATCCTTTCATGTTCTCTGTAAAACAAGAAGGGAGAATATCAGTGCACAGCAGACTTAAGGTTATAAGGACATAGGAACGACCTGGGATGCATCTACACTTGTTGTTTATAACGTTTAAGAAGGCATTATTTTAAAAAATGCCTCTTGTGGTTAACAACACAAAAACTTTGCTACAGAAGATGTGAGCCAAGAAGCAATAGCTCATTCGAGTCCCAGGGGTCACTTTTTCAGCAGGGGGCCGGTCCACTGTCCCTCAGACCTTGTGGGGGGCCAGATTATATTTTTAGGAAAAAAAGAAGAACAAATTCCTATGCCCCACAAATAACCCAGAGATGCATTTTAAATAAAAGGGCACTTTCTACTCATGTAAAAACACGCTGATTCCCAGACCGTCTGCGGGCTGCATTGAGAAGGTGATTGGGCTGGATCCGGCCCCCTGGGCCTTTGTTTGCCTACCCATGGATTAGACTGAGAATAAAAATGGATAATATTAGTTTTGAATTTGAAAAATACCAAAAATGTAGAGACATGAATAGGGACGATTCTCTCTAGACATCTGAAACATGGGAAGTCCTGAGAATTTTTTTTATAATTAGAATATATAATTGGTGTATTGTTATTACTGTAATTTGGATTGATTTGATTTGTCATTAATTGGAAGATCGTTATTGAAAATGAATAAATTCTTTAACTAAAAACAAAAAGGCTTTATTAAATGTGGCACCAGAGGGCGCTGCAGAGCAGTGAACCTTTGGCAATGGAGAACTGTGTTGAGAGTTAGATAACGTTATATTGAATAAGGTTTTTGCAGATTAGTGTAGATCCAGCCTTGGTGGAGCAGGCGTCTAGTCCAGCATCCTGTTCACACAGAAACCCACAAGCCAGATAAGAGTCCTGTTGCTTCCAGCAACTGGTTTTCTGAAGCATTGCTGCCTCTGACTGTGGGGGCAGATCAGAGCCATTGTGGCATCTAAGAACTTCTAAAAACCACCTAAATCTTTCTTGTCACTATGTCCCAGGGAAAGTCCAGACCAGAAAATGCCGGATGTAGAAACAAGGTGCAACCTAATTGTACCCGGTTTCTCGTCCACCCGGGTCCAGAATGGTTGCCAACCCTCGCCCTGGCAAGGTAAAGGCAAAGGGACCCCTGACCATTAGGTCCAGTTGTGGACGACTCTGGGGTTGCGGTGCTCATCTTGCTTTAATGGCCAAGGGAGCCAGCGTACAGCTTCCGGGTCATGTGGCCAGCATGACTGAGCCGCTCCTGGCGAACCAGAGCAGCACACAGAAACGCCATTTACCTTCCCGCTGGAGTGGTACCTATTTATCTACTTGTACTTTGATGGGCTTTGGAACTGCTAGGTTGGCAGGAGCAGGGACCGAGCAACGGGAGCTCACCCCGTCACGGGGATTCGAACTGCTGACCTAATTGTACCCGCTTCCTCATCCACCTGGGTTTGGAATGGTTGGCAACCCTCCCCCTGGCAAAGAACAGAACAAAAAAACAACAAAAACATAATAAAAACAAAACAAAAAGGCACATTTGGGATTTTGTGACTGTCAGGAGTCCAGGTTCCTAGCTTGATAACACAGTAAGTGTAGATCGGGGTCGGCAAATATTTTTAGCCGCGGGCCGGTCCACTGTCCCTCAGACCTTGTGGCAGGTCAGAGAAGCAGCGGGGGGGGGGGCTGGAAGAAGAGGTGAGAGGGGCAAGTAGTCCTCCTCCCCACCTCCAGCTTCTGCACTTACCTTCCCAGGGGCTGCCGCTGCTGCCGCCGCCAAACTGCTTCTCGTGGGTAGACAGAGTGAGCTCATCCGCTCCACTCTCTGGCCCACAGGAGCACCAGGGTGGCAGCGGCGGAGGGAAGATGAGCGGCGTGAAAGGACTGGCTCCGGAGAGGAGCTGCTTAAAATGGCGCTCAGCCAGTTCAGCCCAGTCCCCTTCCTCCTCTAGGCTGGACAGGGAGAAGCCAGGAGGAGGGAGGGAGGAGGCGCCGCCACGGTGTGTGTGAGGGAGAGGGGGGAGAAATGGAATGGCACAGGGGGGAAAATGGTGCAGCTCAAACGAATAGAATCCCCACGCCCATCCACGGACAGTCTGCGGGCCAAATCCTGAAGGCAATTGGGCCTCATCCGGCCCATGGGCCTTAGTTTGCCGACCCCTGGCATAGATAATTAAAAAGGAGGATATATTGGGAAAACAAACAGATAGCTCCGGACGGTTCTAACAAAGCCTATGGCATCATTACTCAAGATGACCCTTCTGAAGACTCCTTCCGGTATCTACAGAATATTGAACTTTCGCACCTTACATCTCATGTTTTGCTTCCTGTCTAGTAGCCCTCCCAGGGAGCAGAAAAGACTACTTATGTATGTGGCTACAGCTGCGTGAATGCTATTGGCCCAGAGATGGAAAGAAGATAAAGTCCCTATCAGAGAAGAATGGCAGATGAAGTTAATGGACTATGCAGAAATGGCTAAGATGACCGGAAGAGTCAGAAATCAGGAAGACCAAAATTTTAATAATGGGGGAAATTTATAATATATCTTAAAAACCCCTGTAAACAGTTAAAATCGTTAGTAGGATTGGAATAACACCTGTAGTGTAATGGTGAATTCTGGACACAATGGAAGAGGCAAAGGGTTTGGATTATCATAAAAGATGCAGGAGGAAATGATTAATAGTAGGACCCACAAAGGGGAGGAGGGAAGTCCAGGAGATTCCTTCGAATCTGGTTTTTATGATTTATGTTGGATATATCTCTGTAAAATTTTAATTTGAAAAACCAACTAAATAAACTTTAAAAAAGAAAAGTAATGGGCCGGCTGGCGTTTGGTGAGTTGGTTCTGAATGCCTGTATTTTGCATGTGGGAGTTTCCTGGGTTGAACCCGGGTTCGAAGACCCAGATGAAGGGTCTTGGGGGGTTATTACTGGGAGAGATCTCCTTTCTCCCAAGATTTTGGGGCGCTGTTTCCAGCAGTCCCCTGGGACACAGATCACCAGTGAGCTGACGAAAGACAAGGCGATTTCCCTCCCTCTGCGTTGCCCAGTTGGTTACCTTGGCGCATTGATGGATCGATCCCCCTTTGCTCTGCCTCCGGCTCTTCCGGCAGATGCCCCTCCCTCCAACGGCTTCGACCACCTTCGGATTTGATGCAGAACATTCCAGAACCTCACCATTCAGCTCCTCCTGCGCCCTGATTGGCTGCCTGCCCTTTCTAATCTGCTTCTTCTTCTTTGGCAATTCCTTGTAGCCAAGTAAGATTGTCTTCCATAAACACAGTTTTAACAATGAGTCCTTAAGTGACTGTGGAGGCCAATTCTGGATCCACATGTCCTTCCACAGTGGGGACATTGGTTTCCGGGTGGGAGTTGATCATGGTGTGGATTTGCCAAGCGTGCCTTCCTCTTAGCACGTTTCTCCCTTGCGTCCTGAGTTTGAGTGTCTTCAAAGCCCAAAGGCTGTTCTCCAACTGGAGTGCTTGCAGGTCAGTGTTTCCCAGGTGTCAGTGTTTATAATACCTTTTTTTAGATTTCCCTTGAGAGAGTCTTTAAACCTCTTTTGTTGACCACCAGCATAATGCTTTCCATTTTTAAGTTCGGAATAGAGTACAGTGGTACCTTGGGTTAAGAACTTAATTCGTTCTGGAGGTCTGTTCTTAACCTAAAACTGTTCTTAACCACTTTAGCTAATGGGGCCTCCCACTGCCAACGTGCCGACGTATCACGGTTCCTGTTCTCATCCTGAAGCAAAGTTCTTAACCCGAGGTACTATTTCTGGCTTAGCGGAGTCTGTAACCTGAAGCATCTGTAACCCAAGGTACCACTGTAGTTGCTTTGGCAGACGATAATCAGCCATCCACACAACATGACCAGTCCAATGAAATTGATGTTGAAGAATCATCGCTTTGAAACTGGTGATCTTTGCTTCTTCCAGTACACTGGCATTAGTTCGCCTGTCTTCCCAAGTGATGGGTAAAATTTTTCTGAGACACATTCCACCCATGGCCTAAGCCCAGGGAGGTGTGACAAACATGCCTAAAAAGCCTTGCTCTTCATAATACTCATGCTAACAGTAGAATCAGAGAACTGTAGACTAGGGCCATCTAGTCCAACTCCACCACAGTGCAGGAATCGTTTGCCCAATGTGGGGTTTGAACCCCCAACCCTGGGATTAAGAGCTCTACCCACAGAGCTATGTGGAATCAATAATAATAATAATAATAATAATAATAATAATAATAATTTTAATATTAAATTCTTTCAACAGCTGCTCTGTGGAGCGGGATCAAACATGCTTACTCAGTCATCCATGGGACAGCTCTCTTTTTTAAAAAATATATTTTTATTAAAGATTTCTTAGTTTACAAAAATACATGCATTCTCTTTTTTCCAAGTTGCACTTTCTACAGAGCATGGGACAGCTCTTGAGATGTTTGAAGATGGCTCTCGTATCTCCTCTCAGCCTCCTCCTCTCCAGGCCAAACATATCCAGCTCCTTCAACCGTTCCTCATCAGGCTTGGTTTCCAGATCCTTGATCATCTTGGTCTTGCACACTTTCTAGCTCGTCAATATCCTCCTTAAATTGCGATGCCCATAACTAGAAACAGGACTCCCAGTCCTGGCCCAGTATAGCGATGAAAACATTACGTAATGGCTTTCATCCTGCCTAACGATGGTGCGATGGACTTTTGCATCGCACGTGTCATTGCATTTTTATATCTTACATTATGTACAGAGCTGATGTTATCGGCTGACGTTTCCTGATCGTTCTTATTCACAAATGAATGAGCCAGGTAATCGCCCGTCAAATTGCCATCTGTTCTCAGGCTTAATGAACGGGAAAAAGACAGGACCCAGTCCCCACCTCACCCCCATTTTTTTTGCAATTATATGAGGCATGCAGCAGAACATAAGTTTTTCCTCAGTTTGTGAAGCCGAATCATCCCATCCTGTGCCCATGTCCTGGGTTCGAATCACCCTCCGGCTAATTCACGGCCCTCACTGGTGTTTATGTCAGAGATATTTCACCTGTGAATTCTGCATTGCAAGAGTTTGGACTAGATCAGGGGTCAGCAACCTTTTTCAGCCATGGGCCGGTCCACCGTCCCTCAGACCATGTGGTGGGCCAGACTATATTTTTTTTGGGGGGGGAAATGAACGAATTCCTATGCCCCCAAAATAACCCAGAGATCCATTTTTTATATAAAAAAGCACACATTCAACTCATGTAAAAACACGCTGATAACCAGACTGTCCACAGGCCAGATTGAGAAGGTGATTGGGCCGTATCCAGCCTCCGGACCTTAAGTTGCCTACCCCCGGGCCTTAGGATGACCCCAGCGCTGGGTCCCTTCCAGCTCTGCACTCCTATAACTTACAGCCTTGAATTGCTTCTTGACCTTACTCTTAACCATTGTCGAGAGACAATGGATCGCACCTCTGGGGGTGAAGTCAAACCACTGAGGAATCACAGCGCCAGTTGTGGCTGCAGAGACTGGCAACTCTCCATTGCTCCCTCTTGTGCTGCTTTTGCTACGTTCGTAGCACCAAAGTGACCCCCTCCCCGGGCACAAGCCTGGACAGTGTGCTTGGAAATCTTGGGCTGCACAGCCAGCCAGACCCCTCTCCCCTTAGCCGTGGGGGTCTCAGATCCCTTGAGAAGGTAAAGGGACCCCTGACCATTAGGTCCAGTTGCGGACAACTCTAGGGTTGCGGCGCTCATCTCGCTTTATTGGCCGAGGGAGCCGGCGTACAGCTTCCGCGTCATGTGGCCAGCAGGACTAAGCCGCTTCTGGCGAACCAGAGCAGCGCACGGAAACGCCGTTTACCTTCCCGCCGGAGCGGTACCTATTTATCTACTTGCACTTTGAGGTGCTTTCGAACTGCTAGGTTGGCAGGAGCAGGGACCGAGCAACGGGAGCTCACCCCGTTGCAGGGATTCGAACCGCCGACCTTCTGATCTGCAAGTCCTAGGCTCAGTGGTTTGTACCACAGCACCACCCGCATCCTCTTTAAACAACTTCTTTAAACAAAACATATCTCAAGGCAAATCTTTTTAAAAATGTAGTATGAACACCGGCAACTGGGAAACACTGGCCTGCGAGCGCTCCAGTTGGAGAACAGCCTTTCCCAAAGGTGCCATGGGCTTTGAAGACACTCAAACTCAGGACGCAAGGGAGAAACGTGCTAAGAGGAAAGCACGCTTAGCAAACCCTCACCGTGATCAACTCCCACCCAGAAACCTATGTTCCCACTGTGGAAGGACGTGTGGATCCAGAATTGGCCTCCACAGTCACTTACAGACTCACTGTTAAAACTGTGTTTGTGGAAGACAATCTTACTTGGCTACGAGGGATCGCCAAAGAAGAAGAAGATAGCTAGACTGTAGCAAATAATAATAATAAATAATAAATGTGTATTTATACCCCGCCCTTCCCGGTTCAGAAAACCAGACTCAGGGCGGCTAACAACAAATTTAAAACTCTTAATTGATGCAACAAAAAACAGCATAAAATACAGTATAAAATGTGACTAACAATAAATTCTGAATTCAAAAATCATTTTAGGGGGAAATCAATCCAATAAACATTGGATGATCACCAGGGCTAGCTGGCTAAATTAGTCCTCTTTGGGCCAGCGAGGAGACCAGGGGAGAATTAGCTGTGGGATCCCAGAGCGGGGAATCTTCATAAAAAGGGGAGGGAAGGAAGGGGAATAAAAGATCAGGCCAGGTTCAAATTGAAAGCCAGGCGGAATAGCTCTGTCTTACAGGCCCTGCGGAAGGATGTTAAATCCTGCAGGGCCCTGGTCTCATGGGGCAGAGCATTCCACCAGGTCGGAGCCATCACTGAGAAGGCCCTGGCCCTGGTGGAGGATAGTCTGACTTCCTTAGGGACCTCTAAACTATGCTTATTCGTGGACCTTAAGGTCCTCTGCAGGGCAGACCAGGAGAGACGGTCCCGTAAATACGAGGGCCCTAAGCCACAAGTGGCAAAGACCACGTTGGAACGGGGTGATGCTCATTTGGAATCAAAGAATTTAGGACTCGGTAAGAAATCTCTGGGACTAAAGTCAGCTAAAATATGTTTATTTTATTTTTTTACTTAGCAAGGATTCTCAAAAGTTACAGAGTAAAGAGGTCAGGTAGCACAACCGCAACATCTTTACCACTGCAAGGGTGTGGGGAGCAGAGGGGAAGGGGGCTGGCTTGCTGGGGCTGGTTGGTCAGGGGTCCCTCTCGGCTGGTTTCTTGGCTTCATTCGTTGAGCGCCCAGACGAACGGCTGCCATCATTCCAGGGGCAAGCTGCACATATACCTCAGCCTCAGCGAACAGGGGGCAGCTTTCCATTTTGTGAACTCTGAAAGACAACGGCAGAGGAAGGAATATGTTGCGTCTGTCTGCACGGGATTGATTTCCCCTGTCCTCAGGGATTGGGGCCGTTGCTATCATTAGGCAGAATAAGATGGTTTGCCCTAATCGTTTCCCAAGGTTTGCTCAAGCAGTGCATCCAACCAAGTCAAGTTGTTCCTCTGCACAACACAAAACTACATTCAGATTGCCAAGGAGAAATTAAAAGGAAAGCATTCCACTTTCTAGACAGCTAATTAGGCTGTTGAAGGGACCAACGCTGTGGGTAAAAGCCTCAGTGCCTAGGGCTTGCCGATCGAAAGGTCGGCGGTTCGAATCCCCGCGGCGGGGTGTGCTCCCGCTGCTCGGTCCCAGCGCCTGCCAACCTAGCAGTTCGAAAGCACGTCAAAGTGCAAGTAGATAAATAGGGACCGCTTACTAGCGGGAAGGTAAATGGCGTTTCCGTGTGCTGCGCTGGCTCGCCAGATGCAGCTTTGTCACGCTGGCCACGTGACCCGGAAGTGTCTGCGGACAGCGCTGGTCCTCGGCCTCTTAAGTGAGATGGGCGCACAACCCTAGAGTTTGTCAAGACTGGCCCGTACGGGCAGGGGTACCTTTACCTATATAAAGTAAGGAGTTATAAAGTAAGGCGTGGGTCTCAGATCCCTTCAGAAGGTAAAGGGACCCCTGACCATTAGGCCCAGTCGCGGATGACTCTGGGGTTGCGGCGCTCATCTCGCTTTACTGGCCGAGGGAGCCGGCGTACAGCTTCCGGGTCATGTGGCCAGCAGGACTAAGCCGCTTCTGGCGAACCAGAGCAGCGCACGGAAATGCCGTTTACCTTCCCACCGGAGCGGTACCTATTAATCTACTTGCACTTTTTGGTGTGCTTTTGAACTGCTAGGTTGACAGGAGCAGGGACCGAGCAACAGGAGCTCACCCCATTGCGGGGATTCGAACTGCCGATCTTCTGATCGGTAAGTCCTAGGCTCTGTGGTTTAACCCACAGCGCCACCAGCGTCCCTGTTGGGGCCGGTCCTACCATTAGGCAGAATGAGAAATTTGAAGACTATTTAGTTAAATATGTTAAGTTAAATCAATTGGAAAAGCTTGCAAATACCAGATAGGCTTAGGATTTAGATATGTAATGTGATGAATTAATATGTTTCATGCTGAATTGGAAAAGAAAGAAAGATGTTAAGTGTTTAAGTAATTTTTTAAAGAATTTAGGTTTTGGAAAACCGTTAAAATGTTATACACTAAAATTCAACCAGGGGGATACGAGGAAGTCACTTAACAATGATACAAAGTTTGGTTTAAATACGGTTGAGATTTATGTTTGTTTGTTTGTTAATATGTTTGTTTGCTTTATTTTTTTGGAAAAACAATAAAAAAAATGATTTTTTTTTGGAAAATGACATCATCTCTCCTTGGTCTCTCGCTTCCCAATGCAGAGAAATCAGCAACTGGGCTTTTGTTTCTGAGTCCCAGACTAGTGAAGTTTCCTTTCCAACCATCCTTGTTGTTGTTTAGTTGTTTAGTCATGTCCGCCTCTTCGTGGCCCCCTGGACCAGAGCACGCCAGGCACTCCTGTCTTTCACTGCCTCCCGCAGTTTGGTCAAACTCATGCTGGTAGCTTCAAGAACACTGTCCCACCATCTCGTCCTCTGTCGTCCCCTTCTCCTTGTGCCCTCCATCTTTCCCAACATCAGGGTCTTTTCCAGGGAGTCTTCTCTTCTCATGAGGTGGCCAAAGTCTTGGAGCCTCAGCTTCCAGATCCGTCCTTCCAGTGAGCACTCAGGGCTGATTTCCTTCAGAATGGAGAGGTTTGATCTTCTTGCAGTCCATGGGACTCTCAAGAGTCTCCTCCAGCACCAGAATTCAAAAGCACCCATTCTTCAGCGATCAGCCTTCTTTATGGTCCAGCTCTCACTTCCGTACATCACTACTGGGAAAACCATGGCTTTAACTATACAGACTTCCTCATTTGCAAAGGCTCTTGAGCCCGATTGCCCTCTTACCTTTGTCATATGTCAGCATGGCACATAATGCGGTCCACGAAGGTTGTGGGGCGGAATCAATCCAAGGTGAGAAAAAGACTGTGGAGGAATCTGCCCATCTCCACTTTCCACTCTGCAAAGAGAGCAGAAAACGGACAGCTTATTTCTCGGAGAAGGTAAGGCTGGAGTGCTTGTTGCGGCTGGCACTCTGCACATGCCCTGGAAAAACTGGAAACTTTCAGTTGCCCTGGAAAGGTGTCATACAGTTTTCGGAAGCTGACGTGGAATTTCTGCAAAACTCGTTATTAGCCGGGACAGCGCCATGTATGCAAGAGGGCAGCCTGGCCACAAAACGGTTAAAGGAGAGCGAAAACCGACTCTACTTAAAGTTCAAGGAGGGCTCTGCGTGCACAGTAAAAAATGGGTTGAATAAAGTTGCATTTAGGGATGCGGGTGGCGCTATGGGTTAAACCACAGAGCCTAGGACTTGCCGATCAGAAGGTCGGCGGTTCGAAGGTGGGCGGACACTCACCTGGAATGGGTCGTGGAGTCCGATCCAGATTCCTTCGGAACCGGGATGCTTGTCCAGGATGTAGCGGCTGATCAGAGTCGCCTCTGCCTCGGTAAGGATGGAGGAGAGATGGGCGTTGGGGCCGTATTTCTGGCAGTTGTTCTGCGTGGGTGCAAGAGAAATGGGTTGAAGTTAAGATGTGCTACTGGGAAAATCCATCCATCCATCAATCAATCAATCAATCAATCAATCAAGGCCTGCATGGAGTCCACATCCATTGAACTATAGGGGTGGCCAACTCCGAAGAGTTGGGTTGAAGTTAAGACGTGCTACTGGGAAAATCAATCAGTCAGTCAGTCAGTCAGTCAGTCAGTCAGTCAGTCAAGGCCTTCATGGAGTCCAGCTCCATTGAACTATAAGGGTGGCCAACTGCCAAGAGTTGTGTTGAAGTTAAGATGTGCTACTGGGAAAATCCATCAATCAATCAATCAACCAACCAACCAACCAATCAATCAATCAATCAATCAAGGCCTCTACATGGAGTCCACCTCCATTGAACTATAGGGGTGGCCAACTCCCAAGAGACTGCAATCTACTCACAGAGTTAAAAACTGGCAGTGACCATTTTGGGGGGTTCAGGTCAAAGTTGTTGAGCTTTTTAGGGGAGCCAGTGATCTACCAGTGATCTACCACAGACTTCCAGTGATCTACCGGTACATCACGATCTACCTGCTGGACATGCCTGAACTATGCCCATTCCCTGTGCATTCAAAAGGTAAGGTGAGGGCAGGGAAATCTGAAGGATATCTTGAAAGTCCTCCAAGCGTTGCACATTGGGGGTGGGCAGGTGAAAAGGAGGAAGATCCTGTGAGCATATAACACCCGTGATTAGAACTCAGTACTGGTTGACCGTTTGCTCCCAGGCCAGGTTCAAGTTGTTTCTATTTAGTGTATAATTCCCTTAACAACTTGGGAGTGGTGCACCCATGAAATCGCCCCACTCCATTTGCACCCACTTTGACCCCTTCAATCTGCAGAACTTGCTCTGTTACAGGTGCTGCTTAATTCCACATTTATGAGAAAACAGGCCCCATCCTTTGGAACTCCCCGCCTCTTGACAAGGGCCTTCGCTGCATACTTTCTGGTGCCTGTGGAAAACATTCTTCTCTCGGCCAGCCTGCCCAGAAATGCAAAATGCTGGTGCATGTTTTGATCTGGCTTTTAGCATAAAAGGTAAAGGTAAAGAGACCCCTGACCATTAGGACCAGTCGTGGCCGACTCTGGGGTTGCAGCGCTCATCTCGCTTTACTGGCTGAGGGAGCCGGCGTGCAGCTTCCGGGTCATGTGGTCAGCATGACTAAGCCGCTTCTGGGAACCAGAGCAGCACGTTTACCTTCCCACTGGAGTGGTACCTATTTATCTACTTGCACTTTGACGTGCTTTTGAACTGCTAGGTTGGCAGGAGCAGGGACCGAGCAACGGGAGCTCACCCCATTGCAGGGATTCGAAAAGCTGACCTTCTGATCGGCAAGTCCTAGGCTCTGTGGTTTAACCCACAGCGCCACCCGCATCCCTGGCTTTTAGCACAACATTGACTTAATTATTGTTCTTTTGGATGTTTCAAATGGTTCTTTTTCACTGTCCTGATGTATATTTTGCTGTAGGAGGCTTAGTTTGGTCAGAATCGAGTATATACTATAGGAGTCAACTTCTAGGGGCCAAAGGGTCTTTGCCTCCCCCCCAATAAAATATTTGAGAGGGCTGCCCCCCCCCAAGTTGGCAAACATTGCCGTTCAAATAGTGTCTGTGCAGCACGATCGAATATGAAGAGAAAAACTTACTTATCCCCCCTCCAATATTTTATTCAAGTTGGTACCCCTGGAGTATACACTTCCAGAATTGATGCTCTATCCAGGGGACAGCAAACCTTTTCAGCAGGGGGCCGGTCCACTGTCCCTCAGACCTTGTGGGGGGCTGGACTATATTTTGAAAAAAACGAATTCCTATGCCCCACAAATAACCCAGAGATGCATTTTAAATAAAAGCACACATTCTACTCATGTAAAGACACGCTGATTCCTGGACCGTCCAAGGGCCGGATTTAGAAGGCAATTGGGCCGGATTCGGCCCTCGGGCCTTAGTTTGCCTACCCATGCTATATACATTACTTCTGGTAAATGGGCCACTATAGCTACTAGAGGGCTGTGAAAATTCCTGTCCCAGTCTTTTTAGACTCTTCTACCCATGTGCTATCTAAAACCCAAGGGGAGCATGGATTGGCAGAGGTGAAATGTATTTGGTGTTATTTTCAGCTCTCCTAGGTAAAGGTAAAGGGACCCCTGACCATTAGGTCCAGTCGTGGCCAACTCTGGGGTTGCAGCGCTCATCTCGCTTTACTGGCCGAGGGAGCCGGCGTACAGCTTCCGGGTCATGTGGCCAGCATGACTAAGCCGCTTCTGGCGAACCAGAGCAGCGCACGGAAACGCCATTTACCTTCCCGCCGGAAGGAAAAGCACTTTGATGTGCTTTTGAATTGCTAGGTTGGCAGGAGCAGGGACTGAGCAACAGGAGCTCACCCCGTGGCGGGGATTCGAACCGCCGACCTTCTGATTGGCAAGTCCTAGGCTCTGTGGTTTAACCCACAGCGCCACCCACATCCCATTCAGCTCTCCTACCCCACTATAATTATTTTAATTGCGCAATGCGGCTTATTCTGTTTTATGGTTTCTTTGCAATGGCTTCCGCAGCAGAAGTAAAATAATATTTGCATTCATTTTGGCAAGAATCAGTTCCCCTCAAGGCACCGTAGGAACGCTCCTTACTTCTGCATCTTCCCACGAGGCTAGTGCGTCGAAGACTCCATAGCAGATTTTCTGAATGTACAACCAGTTTTCGGGGCAGCTCAAGTTTTCTGGTGCACCTGTTCGAGGGGCGGGGAATTTAGGGTCGCCACATTTCGAAGAGTAGAAAAGAGGACGCTATGACGGCCGTTCAAAGCAAAGAAATGCAACTTGTCTCAAATGTTACCCCTGAAAAACAGGACGTGTCCTAGAAAAAGAGGACACATGGAAACCCTGGCTGGGAATGCGTGGGCAGGGCCTAGGTCCCTCGTACCCACGGGACTGCCTCTCCTGGTATGACCCACGGAGGACCTGAAGTTCCACAAATGACAGCACTTTGGAGGGCCCAAGTCACAAGGTGGTTAGATTGGTCTCAACTAGGGCCAAGGCCTTTTCAGTACTGGCCCCGACTTGGTGGAACGCTCTGTCACAAGAGACTAGGCCCCTGCGGGACTTGACATCTTTCCGCAGGGCCTGCAAGACGGAGCTGTTCCGCCTGGCCTTTGGTTTGGACTCAGTCTGACCCTTACGTTTCCCTCCCCTTATAGTTTTGATCTATGTGCTACTCTTAAAGTGAGGCTGCATTTTAACCCGTATTTTAAATTCCCCCATTCCCCTCCCCTATTATACTTTTCTTGTGATTTTATTGGTGTTAGCCACCCTGAGCCCAGCTCTGGCCCGGGAGGGCGGGGTATAAATAAAATATTATTATTATTATTTGTTGTTATTATTATTATTATTATTATTATTGCCTCAATGGAGCACCACCAAATTCTATAATACAACGAGGGACAGGACGGCACATGTCTCCTCCTTGATAGAGCTGGGCTGTCCCTTTGTAATGGTCAGAGTACCGGATTAGGATCTGGGAGACCACAGTTTGAATCCGTTCTGGAAGTCCGTTTGACTTCCAAAAACGTTCAAAAACCTGTGCTCAATTGGAAGCCGTGTCAGAATTTTGGGTTCCAAAGAGCTTTCGCAAACCAAATGCTCACTTCCGGGTTTGCGGCATTTGGGAGCCAAAAAGGATGAGTACCAAGATATGCCTAAATGCAACCAATCAATCAAATTTTCTTTACTGTATGGTGTGTTAATGTGAACGGTAACAATAAAATTTAATAAAAGAAGAAAAGAAAGTAAGTGACTATAAAGAGAGAAAGACGAGAAGGATTACAAATGTAATTTATTTCTGAGAACCTGGCGTATAGAATATTCAAATTGCTGTTTGTATCCTTTGAACAATTTTGTGTACTTGACTCTTTTTCATTTTTTTTCATTTTTTCCCCTTTCCCCCTTTTTTTATTTCCTTTTTTTATTTTTCCTTTTTTGCGTTTTTCTCTTCTTTTCAAATATTTGGATGTAATGTTTAATTCATGCTTTCTCTGCAATTTTTAAAAATGCAACAACAACAACAACACAACAGAAGCATCGCTGTCTCTGACTCTTCTATGATTCTATGACGGTTTAGGTCCAGTCGCCAGGGCTGGATCCCGAATATCCCCACAGGAGGACTCACCTTGCGAGATGGAGCTGGTGATCAGGAGCCCCAGGAGGAAGAGATGGAGTCTGGAGGCTGGACCCATCTGGGAGAAAGAGAGAAAACAGGGAAGGGCAGGAACAGCATGGGGGGGGGGGCGAGGTGATTTTGCTGAAGGTCCCTCGAAAACAACTTGCAATATGCGCCCAAATGTCAAATCCAGAAACATTTGCTTTCCCTTCTCCAACTGAGTTCATCCATCGCCCCCTTTTCAACTGCTGTGTCACTGACAGCGACTGAGCGCCTCTTAAGTCATGGGCAGAATGAAACCACGATACTCACTTATTTGCCCGTGTCTGTTAGAAACGATGTCAACTTCCCTTCCTTAGAGAACTCAATCTTTCTTGCAGGGGTTCGAGGCGAAGGTGGACGCTGTTTGTTTGCTCTGGTGCAAATGCTGGAAGTGACCTCTGTGTTTCAACGCTACATCAAACTCGGATAATGTGCATTTTCATGCTCTCATGGTTGAGCAGTGATCTAGGTACCAGGAAGGACAGAGAAATGGGACTTGGCAGCTGGAATCGATTAATGGCTTTATGTTTTCAAGACAGCAAGTTATTTCAGTCCCCTGCAGTGAGGGGAGGGGAGAGACTCAGCTCAGCTGGTGGTGGGCTGTTGTGGAGCAATCACTGATCCTGAATGGGGTAACTGTGCCCCTGAAGGACCAGTTGTGCAGCCTGGGAGTCATTTTGGACTCACTGCTGTCCATGGAGACACAGGTCAATTCTGTGTCCAGGGCAGCTGCCTGCCAGCTCCATCTGATATGCAGGACGAGACCCTCCCTGCCTGCGGACTGTCTCGCCAGAGTGGTGCATGCTCTGGTTATCTCTTGCTTGGACTACGGCAATGCGCTCTATGTGGGGCTACCTTTGAAGGTGACTCGGAAACTGCAATTAATCCAGAATGCAGCAACCAGACTGGTGACTGGGAGCGGCCGTCGAGACCGTATAACACTGGTCTTGAAAGACCTACATCGGCTCCCAGTATGTTTCCGAGCATAATTCAAAGTGTTGGTGCTGACCTTGAAAGCTCTAAATGGCCTCGGCCCAGTAGACCTGAGGGAGCGTCTCCACCCCATTGTTCTGCCCGGACACTGAGGTCCAGCTCTGAGTGCCTTCTGGTGGTTCCCTCCCTGCAAGAAGCGAATCTACAGGGAAGCAGGCAGAGGGCCTTCTCGGTGGTGGCGCCCTCCCTGTGGAACGCCCTTCTAAGCAACTCTGATCCAGTGCAAGCAACTCTGATCCTTGCAGAGAGATGCCAATCTGTGTTCACAGCATGATACTGTCGTAAAAAGACTATAAATCTACCAGATGCTGCTCATCAATTCTTATCCATGAGCTACCAGGAGGGAGAGGGCGGACTCCCATACTTGACAAGTAGGCAGAGTCGGCTGAATCCACTTCTCAATGCAAACCAACCTACTTTCCGTTTCCTGAATGGATACCAGGGCCGTCTTAAGCATAGGCACCAGGGGTGCAGGGTGCCCGGGGGCTGGGCTCTCAGGAGCACCAGGCCAAGAGTCCAGGGCCCGAGAGTTGGAGTCTAGGAAAGAGCCCGCCTGCCATTTTTTATCTTATATTTTGGAAATGTACATCCAGTTTTCCCCCCCTCCTTTAAATTTTTTTTGGGGCCCCCCAAGAGAGTGGGGTCTTAAGCTATAGCTTGTTTAGCTGGTACGTAAATCCGGCACTGGCTGGACTCCACATTGGTGGTTTTGAAACAGATGGCCACCTCTCAGGGGTTCTGTCAGGGAACTGACATCGGAGCGAGAGGCGAAGGGGAGGCTCCCAGATGATGCTGGCGAAGGACCCAGCAGCAGGGGGAGAAGCAGCTCAGTAGAGGGGGAAGCTAATCAGCGCAACACCAGGGATAAAGGGGGGCAGATGGGGGAATCGGAGAGAGGGCTCCAGGACTCTTCACTGGACATCAGTGAGGAGAGCACAGGTCCTCCGCTACCCACGCCCTCCCTGCGCAGAAGACTCCCGCGCAGTGAGAGGAGGAGACTGGGCGTCAAACAGCTTTTATGTTGGAAGAGGTTTAAGAAACGCCACTAACGGATTCTGCTAGCGACTGAGGCAGCCACGATGAGAAGGGCTGTGCAGTCAGAAAGGTTTGACAAGGCAATTTAGCCTAGAGAGGCGACAGTTTACGCATGAGTAACTCATACCCATTACAGGTTCTTTAGCTGTGATTCCTGCATTGCAAGGGGTTGGAATGGATGACCTCTGCGGGTCCCTTTCAACTCTACAGCTCCATGATTCTATGAGTCCGCGAGGAGAGCTTCTGTGCAGAGCAGATAAAGGGTTGCTCAAGGGAAAGCGAATGCCCGTGGAGGTCGAAAATGTATAGAACCAGCTCCAACATCTGCTGGAAATGCAAAGAGGCTGAGTGTGCCAGGTGTCATATGTGGTGGAATTGCAAAAAGATAAAGGGATTTTGGGAAATCATTTACGATGAATTTTTTAAAAAAGTTTAAATTTAGCTTTTGTCAAAAGACCTGAAGCCTTTCTCTTAGGTATACAGTGGTACCTCGGAGTAAGTACTTCATTCGTTCTGGAGGTCTGTTCTTAACCTGAAACTGTTCTTAACCTGAAGCACCACTTTAGCTAATGGGTCCTTCTGCTGCTGCTGTGCCGCCGGAGCACGATTTCTGTTCTCATCCTGAAGCAAAGTTCTTAACCCGAGGTACTATTTCTGGGTTAGCGGAGTGTGTAACCTGAAGCGTCTGTAACCTGAAGCGTATGTAACCCAAGGTACCACTGTAATGAGTATACTGAGAGATATGAGAAGGGTTTTCATGTATGCAGACACCACTGCGAGAACACCAATAGCCAAAGGGTGGAAGGGAGAGAATATACACATGAAACTGGAATGGCAGGAGACATTATTGGATTATGTAGAATTGGCAAAAATGACATGGAGAATCAGGAATCAATCTGATCAAAGGTTCAAAAGAGAATGGGATAAATGCAGATTATATTTAAAAGAACATTGTAATCGTATGAAATCTTTGGCAGACTTGGAATGACTCCTGCAATTATGGATATTGTGGATAAACATAAGGTAGATATCAAATAATATGCAATTGATAAAGAAAACTTCTATCCCATGATGGGGAGAGTGGAAGTCAATATAGGTGGAAGGAATTTTTTTATGTCTAGAAATGTTTTCATTTATGCATGTTATTTGCTTTGTTATGCTGTTGACTGGTGATATTAAAATCAATAATTTATTATTATTTAAAGGAAATGCCCGTGGAGGAGATTTCTAAGCAATTGAGGATGTCTTCCCAGCAGAAGAGCACATGCCCACACTGCCCAGGGCGGGCACGCTCCTCAGGGGCGCAGGGCACGGAGGGTGCCCTCCCAGGCCCGGGATAACCACTCGGGTGCACGGAGCTGTGCGCGTGTTCTGCAGCTGGGGGCGGAGCAAGCCGCTGATGGCGGACGTTCAGCGCACCACCCACCTGCGACTCCCAAGCCTCCCCCAGCTGTCAAAATGAAGGGGGGAGGGGGGAATGCCGCCGGCAAAACAGCGCAGCTCCCCCCTTTCCGTGGGGCAGGCTTGGGAGTCATGGGCGGGTGGTGCGCCGAATTGTTGGGATATTCCGTTCCACCTTAAGTACAGGCATGATTGTTGTGTGTCACATGCCTGTTTACACTCCAGCACAGCTTGCTGGGAACTTCCATTTTGTTTGTAGCTATTGCTTAAGCAGGGACGCGGGTGGCGCTGTGGGTAAAAGCCTCAGCGCCTAGGGCTTGCCAATCGAAAGGTCGGCGGTTCGAATCCCCGTGGCGGGGTGCGCTCCCGTTGTTCAGTCCCAGCGCCTGCCAACCTAGCAGTTCGAAAGCACCCCCGGGTGCAAGTAGATAAATAGGGACCGCTTACTAGCGGGAAGGTAAACGACGTTCCGTGTGCAGCTCTGGCTCGCCAGAGCAGCGATGTCACGCTGGCCACGTGACCCGGAAGTGTCTCCGGACAGCGCTGGCCCCCGGCCTCTTGACTGAGATGGGCGCACAACCCTAGAGTCTGTCAAGACTGGCCCGTACGGGCAGGGGTACCTTTACCTTTATTGCTTAAGCTGCTTGCTTGGACATGAAGGGGAGAAGACATGTTTTTCCTTTTGTCCTGATGTACGCTGAATAAACTGCTTGTAAATATGCTCATCACAGCCTATCCCTACCACTTCCGTTGTGTAGCGTTTACTCTGCTGAATAGAGCGTGCTCCAGCTTCTGAAACTGGGGTCGCTGAAGCTGCATCAAGGACTGGAGATCACCCAGCACATCGGCCGGTGGGCTTGGGAGTCATGGGCAGGTGTGTTGTAGTTCTGGACAGTTAAGAGTTAACACTCCAGGAAGCATTCTGATTCGCTGGGTGCACTGCCCACATGACCTGGGCATTTTCCTTTGATCTGTGCTCTGTGGGGGCTGAGCTCTCTCTGGGAGCAGTCTGTCTGAGAATGTGAGCAAGGTAGTGTCGTTTTGTTAGAGACAGAAAGCTGTGAATATGAAGCTTGATTCTGTAGGTCTTTCTTTTCTGTTTTTGTAAGCTTCTAAATGTATGGAAGTATGAAGTAAAGAAGTGAGAGCTGGACCATAAAGAAGGCTGATTGCTGAAGAATTGATGCTTTTGAATTCTGGTGCTGGAGGAGACTCTGGAGAGTCCCATGGACTTCAAGAAGATCAAACCTCTCCATTCTGAAGGAAATCAGCCTTGAGTGCTCACTGGAAGGACAGATCCTGAAGCTGAGGCTCCAAGACTTTGGCCACCTCATGAGAAGAGAAGACTCTCTGGAAAAGACCCTGATGTTGGGAAAGATAGAGGGCACAAGGAGAAGGGGGTGACAGAGGACGAGATGGTTGGATAGTGTTCTTGAAGCTACAAACATGAGTCTGACCAAACTGCGGGAGGCAGTGGAAGACAGGAGTGCCTGGCGTGCTCTGGTTCAGGGGGTCACGAAGAGTCAGACACGACTAAACGACTGAACAACAACAACAAGCTTCTAAATAGTGATAGATTAGAAGCACTGGTGTCGAGCTGAGTTATTAAAGACGCCACGTTGACACAGACAAAGCCATTCTACGCTGCGTGTGCACGCTACGTGTGCTCCGACAACTGAGAAGAGTGGCAGTGTGTGAGTGGCAGCGTGTGGGCGCCATTGAAATTTGTTGGAGTGGCAATAAATCAAATTTATCGCAGTGCCGTTGCAGCAGACTCCGTGGGTCAAAGGATTTACGACCCACAAACTGTAACAAGGTGGCACGCTGAATGCCACTCCCCTCAGCGAAGACACCCTGGGGCGGTCTGTCCCCACCGCAACCCCCTTCTCCTGTGTCTCCCCATCCCCAGTTTGTCTGCAGGACAGAAAGGAGTCAGCGGTTGAATGACCAAAACATGGTTTATTGGGTTCAGCAGGAGCCAGTTTGCCTCACCACAACCCCCATGATGATAAGGAGAGGGGCCTGGTGTGCTGGAGTTGGGAAGGGGCCATTCTTTGCCGGTTTTCTTGTGCAAGGACTCTCCAAATGCTGCTTTTCTGCTGCCAGGGGTCCTTTGCAGACACAGTCAGACAGCTGCTTTCACCCGAACATCATCTTGCACATGTACCTCATCTTTTCTGAGCATGGTGCAATGTGAAATTTTGCAAAATCTGGAAGATATGAGCAAAGGTACATTTATGCACATGTGGTGGGAGTGTAATAGAATAAGAGGATTTTGGGATGCCATATATAATGAACTTAAGAAGATTCTTAAATTTTCATTCCCCCCAAAAAATTCCTGTTAGGGGTAATGCCCACTGAAATAATGTAAAATCTGAAACCCCTTTTCATGTATGTAACCACAGCGGCTAGGATTCTAATAGCTAAGAACCAGAAAAGTGACAACATCCCCGCCGAAACGCACTGGCGAGTGAAAATGATTGGATGTTTACAACTCGCAAAGATGACAGGGAGAATAAGAAGAAACTCAATACAAAAAGTTAATAAAGATTGGATAATTTTAAAAAGAATACATTAGAAATTACTGTGATAATGCTAACCTCCTGGCAGACATAGAATGAACCATAAAATATAAAGAAAGTATATAATAAAATCAGTTGGAAGAAATGGAAACTAAAATAATGATAATGAAATGTGTATAGATTAACAAAACGTAAAATAGCACAATGAAAGGAATGGGAAGTTAGTGCCAATGGTGTGTGTGGCGTGTTTATGTTGTAATATGTGTAGTGTGTCTTGGATGTGTTGTTTGTACTGTCAAAGTTGAATGTTATTACTAATATGTAAACTTAAACCACAGAGCCTAGGGCTTGCTGATCGGAAGGTCAACGGTTCGAATCCCCGCGATGGGTGAGCTCCCATAGCTCGGTCCCTGCTCCTGCCAACCTAGCAGTTCGAAAGCACACAAAAAGGGCAAGTAGATAAATAGGTACCACTTTGGTGGGAAGGTAAATGGTGTTTCCATGCGCTGCTCTGGTTCGCCAGAAGAGGCTTAGTCATGCTGGCCACATGACCCGGAAGCTGTACGCCGGCTCCCTCGGCCAGTAAAGCGAGATGAGTGCCGCAACCCCAGAGTCGTCTGCGACTGGACCTAATGGTCAGGGGTCCCTTTACCTTTACCTAAACTGATCTTAATTGATGTATAATAAAGTTCATTTTTTTTAAAAAGAAGAAGATATGAGCAAAGTAAGGCAGACACTGTCTCTACCTACACTGCCCTTGACAGTGAATGCGTATTTCGGTTGAGATTCCTGCATTGCAGGGGGTTGGACTAGATGAAACTTGGGGTCCCTTCCAATTCTACGATTCACCCAGAGGACAATAATAATAATAATTTATTATTTATATCCCGCAAATCTGGCTGGGTTTCCCCAGCCACTCTGGGCGACTTCCAACAGAACACTAAAATACAATAACCTATTAAGCATTAAAAGCTTCCCTAAACAGGGCTGCCTTCAGATGTCTTCTAAAAGTCTGGTAGTTGTTTTCCTCTTTGACATCTGGTGGGAGGGCGTTCCACAGGGCGGGTGCCACCACTGAGAAGGCTCTGTGCCTGGTTCCCTGTAACTTGGCTTCTCACAGCGAACGAACCGCCAGAAGGCCCTCGGAGCTGGACCTCAGTGTCCAGGCTGAACGATGGGGGTGGAGATGCTCCTTCAGGTATACAGGACCGAGGCCATTTAGGGCTTTCAAGGTCAGCACCAACACTTTGAATTGTGCTCGGAAACGTAGAGGAGAAGTTCCCCTCCTTCCAAGCACTGATGTGCCCTGAGGAACAGCGCTTTGCTGGTGCTTATAGATAGGGACGAGGGAGAAATTCGATCCAGCTCACGTTTAAAAGCGAAACTATCGAATTTTCACTTTCCAACGCTATACGAGAACCAAAACACAGCTATCCTTCGGAAATCACATTCAATCTGAAGCTGGCAAATTTTACAAAAATGCACAAGTGCGCATAAAAGCCAATGCATTGGTGAAAAGTATAAGCGCATTATACTGGGGGAGGTTGCTTGCAGGGGGGGGGGGAATATGTGCCTTAGTCAAAACTTGCACCCCGAGATGTGTTTATTGGGGGAAGTGTGCAGTGAAACACTGGCAGATTTTAACGAGGATTTTTTTTAAAAAAAGGTCATTGCAAATTGCTGTAGAAATGTGGGGACGGAGGTGAATTTGGGGGAATCTGGACAATGGACTAGATAGTCCCACTTTGTCCTGATTCACACACAGAGCCACGGGGGTCGTAGTTGAGTTCCCCCCTTTGCCAGCAGAAAATGATGAGACTGGCCAGAGTTGGTACACTTGACTTTTGATTGAGAAAGGAGTGAAGGGGGCTTGTGGGACACCTGCTCCCCACATGTCCCTGGGGTGAGATCCTTGACTCCCGGTTGCCTGAGCACCTCCTCACCTGTTCTGGCAGACAGGTAGACGCAGCCTCCTTTTGTCGGGGTACCAGGTTCAAGCAAAACCTCCTCTTTACTCCAAGGTGAATAGTTCAGTATCGAACGATCTGCCCATTTCCAATATCCCTTCTGTAAAGATGATGACGGATATTATTATTGTTGTTATTATTATTATTGTTATTATTTAATATGTATGCCACCATTCCTCCAAGGAGCTGAAGGATGCTTATATAATTCTCATCCCCCTTTAATCCTCACAGCAAGGATCTGGGGGTCTTGGTGGACCACAAGCTGAACATGAGCCCACAGAGTAATGCAGCAGCAAAAAAAGCTAATGCTATTCTAGGCTGCAACCACAGAAGTCTGGTGTCCAGATCAAGGGAAGTCATAGTCCCGCTCTATTCTGCTTTGGTCAGACCACACCTGGAATACTGTGTCCAGTTCTGGGCACCACAATTTAAGAAGGATGTTGACAAGATGGAAGGTGTGCAGAGGAGGGCGACCAAGATGATCAAGGGCCTGGAAACTAAGCCTGATGAGGAACGGTTGAAGGAGTGTGGGTATGTATAGCCTGGAAAGGGGGCAGAGGGCCTTCTTGGTGGTGGCACCCGCCCCGTGGAACTCCCTCCTGTCAGATGTCAAGGAAATAAACAACTATGTAGAAGACATCTGAAGGCAGCCCTGTTTAGGGAAGTTTTTAATGTTTAACGGACCACTGTATTTTAATACTTTGTTGGAAGCCGCCCAGAGGGGCTGGGGAAGCCCAGCCAGATGGGCGGGGTACAAATAATAAATGATGATGATGATCCCTGGTGCCCCTCTTTGGCTTTCTCGCACCTCCCTGCTCCTGCCTTCTCTGACCCATGCCTTCTACCCTGTGGGGCTTTGGCAGAGAGGGGTCTGCAGGTCTGGGATTGTACGTTCACCTTGTTGGGGTCGTGCAATCCAATCCAGATACCGGTCGGAAAATCCTCTTCGTCCTCCAGGGTCTGGAGGTGGCTGCTGATCATCGCACCCTGAGAGGAGGAGAGGATGGAGGCCAGGTGTCCTCGCTTGCTGTAAGCCATGCAGTCCTCCTAAATTGGTCCGAGAAAAAGCAGGGCTCATTACTACTGGATTTGTAGCTCACTCTTGCACGCTTGAAGAAGCCACGAATGGCACACACCGCTCTTTTTTTTAAAGTAGGTCTGCCATATGTCTCAGATTTCCCACACATATTCAGGATCCGTCTGACGGAAATAGCGCCGGGGCAGAATTTCCGAAAATCATTTAAAATGTCCGGGTGAACCAGGGCCTAGGGCAACCCGTGTAGATTTTTTGGGTGATTTTCCTTAAAAAAAAAACTTTGCCAAAACAGAAGCTCAACAGCTTTTCCAGGCTAAATATACCCAAACTACTTATCTCTTTGGCCACATAACTCCATACCCTCCAACATTTCTCCGACGAAAATACGGATGTCCTAAGGAAAAGGGGACGTGGGCGGCGCTGTGGGTTAAACCACAGAGCCTAGGACTTGCTGATCAGAAGGTCGGCGGTTCAAATCCCCGTGACGGGGTGAGCTCCTGTTGCTCGGTCCCTGCTCCTGCCAACCTAGCAGTTCGAAAGCACGTCAAAGTGCAAGTAGATAAATAGGTACCGCTCCGGTGGGAAGGTAAACGGCGTTTCCGTGCGCTGCTCTGGTTCGCCAGAAGCGGCTTAGTCCTGCTGACCACATGACCTGGAAGCTGTACGCTGGCTCCCTCGGCCAGTAAAGCGAGATGAGCACCGTAACCCCAGAGTCAGCCACGACCAGACCTAATGGTCAGGGGTCCCTTTATCTTTTAGGACAGGGGTCAGCAAACTTTTCCAGCAGAGGGCTGCTCCACTTTCGCTCAGACCCTGTGGGGGCCTGGGCTATATATTTTTTGGGGGGGGGGAATGATGCGAGAGCACCATGAGCCCCAGTGGCTGCTTACCTGTGTCTTGCGAGCGGCAGGGGCTGGCGGTGGTGGCGGAGGGACACTGAGCAGCGCACAAAAGGGCTCCGGAGAGGGGTTGCTTAAAATGGCGGCTGCCTGAGGGCTGCTGCTGCTGCTGCTGGCACCAACAAAGCCCAGCCCCCTTCCTCCTCTAGGCAGGGCGGGGAGAAGCCGGAGGGGGGGGAGGAGGAGGAGGCGCCGCCACCATCATGGGAGAGGGAGGGAGGGAGAGGGAAAGAACGCATGCCCTGGCGATCCACGTGGCAATTCCCGGACCGTCCACAGGCCAGATTCAGAAGGCAATTGTTCCTTAGTTTACCAACCCATGTTCTAGGAGGAAGGGACGGAGCTTCGGTGTTTAATGGGAAGCCGGCAAGTGGATTTCACCTGGTCATCTGCTAGTCTCAACCCTGGTCTTCCCTAACTTAACCTGAAACTGTTCTTAAACTGAGACACCACTTTAGCTAATGGGGCTCCCGCTGCCGCCGCACGATTTCTGTTCTCACCCTGAAGCAAAGTTCTTAATATTTCTGGGTTAGCAGAGTCTGTAACCTGAACCATCTGTAACCCGAGGTACCACTGTAGTTGTTTATTTTCTTGACATCTGATAGGAGGGCATTCCACAGGGTGGGCGCCACCACCGAGAAGGCCCTCTGCCTGGTTCCCTGTAATCTCACAGTGAGGGAACCGCCAGAAGGCCCTCGGAGCTGGACCTCAGTGTCTGGGCTGAACGACCGTGGTGCAAAGATCCCTCTGGTGCCCCTCCTCCATTTCCCAGAGTTGTCGACCTTTTCCCATGCCTCTGCCAAAATCGCTCTCCTCCCACAGAGGCTTGGGAAGGAAGCTGCGTGCCCGCCAGCCATATGTTTGACGGGGAGCTGCTGGCGGGCGTTCAGGGAAAGGGGAGGCCACCGGCAAAGCCACACAGCTCCCCTACTCGCTGGGGTGCCCTTGAGAGGCCATCGCCCTGGTGCAACGAACCACTAAGCTGTATGGGAAGGACGGCACTGGTTGCGAGGATGAAATAGGGCAGGGAGGGCTGTGGGCGCTGCCTTGGAGCAAACCATACACCATGTGGCCATCATAAGGCCGCTGTGTTTCTAGCTCCTCCTGCCTAACCCTTTTCTGCTTGCAAGCATCTCTCGAGACGAGTTTCGGTGCCTTCCAAGCAATAATAACATCCCTCTTACATCAGCCTCTTTCCAGGATAATTTAGCGCTGAAGACTCCATAGCAGTAGGCTCCATGCAGCAGCCAGCCGGTGGGACACTCAACTGCCTTGGTGCCTGTATGTGGGGCACAGAAACATAGTCAGGGACACAATACTGGAACGAGAGGGGTGTAAATAGTTTCCCCGAACTGAAGAATGGCAGACGAAAACAATGAACTATGCAGAATTGGACAAAAGGACAGGAAGGATTCGAAACCTGCGGGACCAGAGATTTACAGAAGATTGGAAGAAGTAGATGAACTATTTGAAAAGCAATTGTAGCCAACAAATTACGGTAGTAGGACCACAAGAAGTTTTGTAAGGAGGAATATATGAAGTGCTGCAAAGCAGATAAAGAACAGAGATATTGGTTATGAGTTTTAAACGCAACAGGGAAAATAAGAAATGTATACTAAGAGATTAGATTGGGAAGTTTTCAGACAGGACTGATGGAAGTCAAAAATATTGAGTAAGATGTAAAAATATGTTTAATTACTGTTGAAAATGGTATGTTTAAATAAACCTTTATATATATAGTTTCCCCAACCCAAACGGTGCCCACAGAAGGGACACCCCCCAGAGGAATGGGACAGCTTACAGTATGCTGGCAATACCCAGCTCCATGTCTCTATTACATATGAGTCAGGAATGACAGAATCGTGGCCTTGGAAGGGACCCCCCCAAAGTTCATCTAGCCCAATCCCGGGCAGTGCAGGGATCTCAGGAGAAGCCGTGCTAGTCCTGGACAAGTAAATGGAACTCGAATCCTGGGGAGACTGATGGTTCCCATGTCTGGATAGCCTTCTCTCAGGGATTATTTAGCTGCAGCTCCTGTATTTCAGGGGGGTTTGGCTAGATGACCGCTGGGGGTTCCCTCTGAGCTCTTCAAATTTGTGATTTGTTTGCTTTGTGTAGCATGGGCTGGATTCTGAGGGCTTTAGAAAGGGGGACTCACCTCGCGGGAAGAAGTCGGTGGCCAGGAGACCCAGGAGGACACAGTGGAAGCAGGAGATCAGAGACATCAGGATCGGGACCTTGGGTGGTGGAGAGAGGAAGGAAGGAACAAGAGGAACAAAAGCTGAGATGAGCGCCTTTTGCAGAACGTCTATCCAAACCGACTTGTCCTTCCAGCAACCTTTGTTTCCCTTTTCCCCATGAGGAGACCTGTTCTTTCAAAGTGCTCCCCCTGAGGGTGCAAAAAGGGTGCAAAGGGGTTTCACTTGCCTGTTGCACGTCTCTCTCCGCTGCAAAATGCCGTCCTTCTTAGGGGAAGTGAAGCCACACAGGTGAATGTGCAAATGTTCCCCGGGTTGCAGACGTCAGGCACAACCGCTGTGGCTCAGGTAGTTTTTTTTATTTCAGGACTTGCATGGTTGAGCAGTGCCCCCGGAGCGAGGGAGGAAATGGGCACAGCAAGAACACAGGAAATTGGATCCCTTCGTCCTTGCAGGTTAGGCGACCAAACTAAGCGTGCCCAAGCTTAAGAAGTTCTTATAGCTTCTCCGATAACCTTTAGAAATCCAGGACATCTGACGAAGCTGAGCGTTGGCAGACTTGGGACAGAGGACAGAAAGTCCTTCTTCACATGGCACAGAGTTAACCTGCAGAGCTCCCTCCATCAGGAGGCAGGTTTGCCTGGCACTTGGGTAGCTTTGAAAGAGGATTGGACCAATTCCCAGAGGAGGAGAGTGTGCTGGGCCCGGGGGTAACTCGAGTAACGCAGTCCAGGTCTGGCCCCGAATCCAAGGGTTCCGTGAGGAGTCAGTCCGACAGGGTCAAGGCAGGAAACCAGGCAAGGTCAGGCACAGGATCACAGGCAGGTTCTGGCAAACAGCAACGTTGCTCCCACAACCTGGGGGCAGGGTCCAGCAGCCTTTTATCTCCAGTACCGGATTTACGTATAAGCTAAACAAGATATAGCTTAGGGCCCCAGCCAACTGATGGCAGTAGTTGGCACTGGGTTGTTGGCACCGGGTTGGCGAAGGCTGAGTTAATATGAGCTTGATGGTTTGCTCCACGCCATGCAGCAGAGGTAGAGAGCCTCTGTTGTCCCTGGAATACAACTCCCATCATCCCCAGTGCCGGATTTACGTATAAGCTAAACAAGATATAGCTTAGGGCCCCTCTCTCTTGGGCCCCCCCCAAAAAAAATCTAAAGGGAAAAAAACCCTGGATGTACATTTCCAAAATATAAGATAAAAAACAAATAAAATAAAACCTACCTACAGCAACCGTGTTTTGTGTTGTGTAGGCTCCTATGATGTAAGTCAGGCATAGGCAACTTTCAGCCCTTCAGATCTTTTGGCCTACAACTCCCATGATCCCTAGCTAACAGGACCAGTGGTCAGGGATGATGGGAGTTGTAGGCCAAAACATCTGGAGGGCCAAAGGTTGCCTATGCCTGATATGAGTCATGGGCCCTGCCTGCTAGCCTGCTCCCTAAAATATCACTGGTTTGCTCCTTTCTATATATAGGGTGCCTACATTCTGCATGGCCTGGTTGCATGACAACATGTGCAAATGGTTTTAGATACCTATTACGTCCATAAATTACCATATAGTATATATTTAACACAAAAAAACAACCGTTTGTTGTTGACAAAGGACAGCTGGACATATAAAGGGCCCCATTACCTTCAGTATCTTAAAGATAAAGGTAAAGGGACCCCTGACCATTAGGTCCAGTCGTGGCCGACTCTGGGGTTGTGGCACTCATCTCGCTTTATTGGCCGAGGGAGCCGGCGTACAGCTTCCGGGTCATGTGGCCAGCATGACTAAGCCACTTCTGGCGAACCAGAGCAGCGCACGGAAACGCCGTTTACCTTCCCGCTGGAGCGGTGCCTATTTATCTACTTGCACTTTGAGGTGCTTTCGAACTGCTAGGTTGGCAGGAGCAGGGATTGAGCAACGGGAGCTCACCCCATCGCAGGGTTTCGAACTGCTGACCTTCTGATCTGCAAGTCCTAGACTCATCAAACCCAAATCTGGCCCTGCTCCAGTCTTGCTACCTGCAGCAACAAGATTCGTTTCGGTGACTCCTGTTTTTGCTTCCATGACGCTAGGAACTTAAATCTGGCCCTGATCATCCTCGACCATTCACTGTGTGAGTTGCCAGGGCTAATGGGAGTTTCCAAGTCCAACCCCACTTGGAAGATACTAGCTTCCCCCATACTTGCCCTAGATGGCAAAACTCACTGAATGTCCCCTGATGTCAGGCCCCCCTCCTTCTCCTGAACCTTCCCAAGAACAGGAGAACAGTATAGATTTAAAACAGTGGTTTGCAGAAGGGCATAGTTCAGAAGCTGCAGAAGGGAGAACCTGAGAAATATTGGAAGATGAACAGCAGGAAGAAGCAGCAGGGGGGGAGACAGCTGACAGACTCAGTGTCTCTAGAAAGCATTCCTGATCCTCCCTCTCCCAGGACCAGGCGTGCATTGAGAGTAGGAGAACAGAAAGCTCAGAGGCAGAAAGCTCAGATTAGCCGGCGCAGGGGTGACGTAGAATAGGGATGATGTAGAGGGGCTGGACTTGGAGCAACACCATCATGGCTTAGAGACTACATTCCTTTCTCTCTCTCTGTGAATACTGAATAAATTACGTGGTAAGGCCTCTTCGTGTTATCTGCTTTTTCGGCTGCCACCGGGGGAGGGAGCCTTGACACCACCCCTACCAAAAATATGTCGGAACCTCCATACGACTGAGCTGTAATGGCTACTCCTCCTCTGTATCTTCGGAACGCATCTAGGCTCTCCTCCGACGGTGATTAATGACCTAAGCCTTTGAATGAGGCTTCAGGCACGCTCTCCATTGCACAGAGTACTCAGCAGCAGAAGAGCCAGAAATATGTGCTAAATTGCTACTTTATTTCTAGCTACGTAGGACAGAAAAGAATATGCATCTGCTCTCTGTGAGAGACAGAAAACAACAGGACAAAGAAACAGGAAACCAGTAACATCAACATCGGTTTCCCATCTCCCGTGAGACTTCCAACAGTCTGGAATGTCAACAGAGTCTTGTGACTCCAAGAACTGCACAGTGGCACAACAGAAACCTAACAAAATAATTGCAAAACAATCCAGGACAGCAATGCAACTGTGTGCGAGGAGGGGAGATTCCCCCTGCCCAACCAAAGCCCAATTGACTAAATTTTGCAGGAAGGGGAGTCTGGGGAACTGAGGCAGTGAACGGTGATGAGAGGTAATTGCACCTTGCAAAGTTCTCCTTGCTTTGGTTTTTAATGGCTTGAGGAAGTTAGTGGCCAGATTGCAAGCTGGTCTGGGGACTTTAGGCCCCCTGGTGCATGGCGTGACTTCCTGATGGCATCAAGTTTCTGAACCATGAGCAGCCGATTGGAGATAGCCATCAATAGACGGCTCCCTTTGCGAAGGTATTCATCGCACAATGCTATCAGTACACGCCGCAGCTGGGGTAATCTTTGTGCTGCAGTTCTGTGAGATCCTCTGCAAGATCTGGGACGTTTGAAAAGGGTTCCCAAAGTGGGAAACGTGAAGCGGGAGAGAGCCAGGATGATGTGGGACTTAGAGTAGGAATCCAAGGATAACTGCACTTCCTTTGTAGACCAGCACATTCTGGAACCATTTTGCAGTTTCTCGTCTGAGTTCTTTAAGAGGCAACTGGACCCTGCAATTAGTTAACTATAAATTTACCTCCTAGATCCCCTAGCCCCACAAAGGCCCACTCGGCTGCATCCATCAGTGCAACTGGCACAGTTAACCAGTGCCACATAATCACCCGTTCCACTTGGGCAAGAGCCTTCACCTTTCTGTGCCTGCTAAAAATAGTATACCTAAAGAAGCATATACCTGAAGGATTCCTGAAGGCCCAGCATACCTGAAGGAGCATCTCCACCCCATCATTCAGCCCAGACACTGAGGTCCAGCTCCGAGGGCCTTCTGGCAGTTCCCTCCCTGTGAGAAGCAAACTTACAGGGAACTAGGCAAAGGGCCTTCTCGGTAGTGGCACCTGCTCTGTGGAACGCCCTCCCATCAGATGTCAAGGACATAAACAACGACCTGACTTTTAGAAGACATCTGAAGGCTGCCCTATTTAGGGAAGTTTTTAATGACTGATGTTTTAATGTATTTTAAATCTTTTGTTGGAAACCTCCCAGAGTGGCGGTGGAAACCCAGCCAGATGGGCAGGGTAGAAATAATAAATTATTATTACTATTATTATTATTAGACACGGGTGGCGCTGTGGGTTAAACCACAGAGCCTAGGGCTTGCTGATCAGAAGGTCGGCAGTTTGAATCCCTGCAACAGGATGAGCTCCCGTTGCTTGATCCCTGCTCCTGCCAACCTAGCAGTTCAAAAGCACGTCAAAGTGCAAGTAGATGAATAGGTACCGCTCCGGCGGGAAGGTAAATGGCGTTTCCGTGCGCTGCTCTGGTTTGCCAGAAGCGGCTTAGTTATGCTGGCCACATGACCCGGAAGCTGTACGCTGGCTCCCTCGGCCAATAAAGCGAGATGAGCGCCGCAACCCCAGAGTCAGTCACGACTGGACCTAATGGTCAGGGGTCCCTTTACCTTTTATTATTATTATTATTGAGAAGCCCACCCAGTTGTTCGGGAAGCTGGTGTAAGTTTTAACCTTGCTTTAAGCCTGTTGCCATTTTAACTTTCCAAAGTCTTAAATTATTGGCGTTCGTTCCAATTACGGATAAATTTATAACTTTAATAAAAAATAAAAATAGTAAAAGCATTAGGCAAACTCATGGAGGAGAGGGCTAGGGATGGACACGATGGCTCTGCTCTGACCTCCACAGTTGGAGGCAGCCATGCTTCTGAATCACAGTTGCTTGAAACGGCAGGAGGGGAGAACGGTCTTATGTTCAGATGCCGCTTACTGGTTTCCTATTGGGCATCTGGCTGTTAGAATTCCTGCTCCGTGATTGCAGTCATGGGATTGTTGTCTATCACATGACGGTGTATGTTTTGACTCCACAGTGGGAAGTGACGGAGACAGGATGTTTGTGTTACTGTGTTCCGTGAAGTGGGACAATGTCCTTTGTTCTCTCTCTTTGCTGTCTGATGCTAGAGAGAGAGAGGGAGCCATGTTGCAGTGCTCCGTGTGTGTTTATATGTAAACAAAGTAGATTAGTCAAAATGCTGAGTTGCTGAGGTCTGTTACGCAAGCTGTGAAGACTCTGCAGATCCCTAAGCGTGCCAATGTCTGTTGGCATCGGTCGCTGTGATGTTCGGAAGTGAGGAAAGCTTTTGAAGCTCCCGAACGATCGACCAGGAGGGAGAGAACATGCCAGTCGGGCATGTGTCTCTGCCAGGGTCCTACTCGAGCGTAGGACGAGCTCCTGACACTGGCCACTCACTGTGAGAA